TCCATCATTGCCTGTTTGGATATCACCATCTAACAGATGATTATGCTTTTACGAAAAGCGGTCTTATAAGATTTATGTTTATGTTGTATGGCTATTGCCTAAACAGAACCTGCACTCCAACGTGGAGATTCAGTCTATCTTGTCGGATTGAGTAGGAACCTTCAAGCCACATCAAGAAAATCTATTGTAACCAATCCATGTGCAGCGTTAAACATTGGGTCTGCTGATTCTCCCCGCTACAGAGCTACTAATATGGAAGTAATTGAGCTTGATACAGGTTAGGGAATTCAGAGCCTTTGACATTAAACTTAGTTATTCTAGACTTGTTCAAATCTCACTTTGTTTTTTCTTGTTTCTTGCAGATTTTGGTAGCTCATTTTCAGGGGCGCTGACTGATGAGCAGGGAAGAATCCGGGCTATTTGGGGAAGCTTTTCGACTCAGGTTCATCTTCCCACTTTGCCGTTACCTAATTTTTGTGCGTCTTTTTTTCTAACATGCTGCTCTTGTGAATTGATCACAGGTTAAATATAGTTCCACTTCGTCAGAAGACCATCAGTTTGTCAGAGGTATCCCGGTATATGCAATCAGCCAAGTCCTTGAAAAAATCATAACCGGTGGAAATGGACCAGCTCTTCTCATAAATGGTGTCAAAAGGCCAATGCCACTTGTTCGGATTTTGGAAGTTGAATTGTATCCTACTTTGCTTTCAAAAGCACGGAGTTTTGGTCTGAGTGATGCATGGATCCAAGTAAGCCATTTGTTTATATTTCGCTATATTTCTGCTTAGATTCTTTATCATATCAATATGTGTCTTTGTGCTTAGAATCTTAGTCTACTAAAATTAGGCATTCTCAAATCCGTTTACTATATTGATTGTTCTCACAGGTCCTAGTCAAGAAGGATCCTGTTAGACGTCAAGTTCTGCGTGTTAAAGGTTGCCTGGCAGGATCAAAAGCTGAAAACCTTCTTGAACAAGGCGATATGGTTCTGGCAGTCAATAAGATGCCAGTTACATGCTTCAATGACATAGAAGCCGCTTGCAAAACATTGGATAAGGGTAGCCACAGCGATGAAAATCTCAATCTAACAATCCTTCGACAGGTGACACCATTAACTCCTATGTTATTATTTCTTTGTTTCTTCGTTATCACCTGAGTCTTTGTGTCGATTGATCACACCATCTGTGACAACAGTAGTTCGTGTCCTTTTCTTGAGTTTCTTGACACAAATAATTTTAGTTAAGAAAAAAGGTCTACGTGTAATCTCTTGTTGGTTTGTTAGGGCCAAGAACTGGAGCTCGTAGTTGGAACTGATAAAAGAGATGGGAATGGAACGACAAGAGCGATAAACTGGTGCGGATGCGTTGTTCAGGATCCTCATCCTGCGGTTCGTGCTCTTGGATTTCTTCCTGAGGAAGGTCATGGTGTCTATGTCACAAGGTACTAGTTGTGACCTATATATGAAATCTCAATTTGGTTTAACAGAAAAACTGGTTCTTAGCAATTTATTTGTCGCAACTGACTAATTTTGACAAATTTTGTTCTCAGATGGTGTCACGGGAGTCCCGCTCACCGATATGGCCTCTACGCACTTCAATGGATTGTGGAAGTTAATGGGAAGAAGACTCCTGACCTAAACGCATTCGCAGATGCTACCAAGGTGTTGTCTCTTTCCTTACAGAAGTCACACTTTCAATTACTTTGGACCTGAAGGTTATGCAGGAGCCATTACAATTGCTCTTTTACTCTGATCTAAATTGTGATCTTAGATTGTTTCTTTTCGATTTGGTTGCAACAGGAGCTAGAGCACGGGCAGTTTGTGCGTATTAGGACTGTTCATCTTAACGGCAAGCCACGAGTCTTGACTCTGAAGCAAGATCTCCATTACTGGCCGACTTGGGAGTTGAGGTTCGACCCAGAGACTGCTCTTTGGCGGAGAAATATATTGAAAGCCTTGCAGTAAAAGCCTTTTGGTATTTCTCTGAAAAGCTCTTATTATGTCTCTCATTGCTCCAACTTTGTTGTATTTCTATCATTTTTCTACTCAAATCTTCATTAATTCATCATACTAAAAGAACTATCACTACAAATTTACAGAAAAACTGAAGTATTTTACATCCAGTAAAAATGATCAAATCAAAGATTTCCCATGTCATAATTTATATTTATATATTCTTCTAATTGTACCGTTTATTTTAGTTTTGTTTTGACCCGTAAAATTGAAAAGTCAAAGCCAATTGATGATGTCATAAATCTTAGCAAACTTGAAAAAGCTTCAAGTCGAAACTCAAATTGATGAACAGAGACGGACTAAATTTAACATGCATTATAATAGTGACCAGTTTCTAGGCTTGGGTCCTTAAAGAAGAATAGTCTATACTACTTCATAGAACGCATCATCATAGTCTTAAACTCCTCAAAGCTAATATAACCATCACCATCTACATCGATAGCTTGAACCATCCCTACGCAGCTCTCAACCGTACACTTCTCTCCGAGCCGAGTCATCACCACATGTAACTCATTGGCCGATATCTTCCCATCACAATCAATATCATATAGTTTGAACGCATCCTTCAACTCTTTCTCCACGTCACCACCACTAGACTGAGCTGTTTGGTCCATACACGAAGCGAATTCGGCCGCATCGACCTGACCATCTCCGTTCGTGTCAAGCTGGATGAACATCTCTACCAGTTTGTCTGAAGGAATAGCTGGAGAGAGAGCATGAATCGCGTCACGAAACTCTTCCCATGAGATCTTACCGTCTTTGTTTTTGTCAAACCTCTCGAAGATATCACTTATAGACATATTATTATTCCTATTCATATTCATATTCACTCTTTTGTTGATTTTCTTCTTTTTCTTTTCTGAAACTTTTGTGAAATATGAAACACTGTGTCCTTGTATTTATAGGTTTTTGAAGTTATTATATTCACCTACACGTTTTACAAATTTTATATGTGAACATTGAAAATGGTTATTAAATATACCAATATTGTTTTGTTGGAGAAATACATAGCTGGTTTACATGAAAAGAAGTAAATCCTTTTTTTCCATTAAAAGAAAAAAATCAAAATTTCCCAAGAATGTGTGGATGTTCTTCTAAAATCAATTTATTTCATCTTATTGATAGTTCCATGTATCTCATGGTCAATATATATTATTATTCCCAACATATAGCTTCGGGGGCTTACTAGTGTGTACGTAAGATAAAAGAAATAGATTTCATTGTTGTTCTGTTTTCTTTTTAAAAGAAATAGATCTCTTCATATTGCATGAGATGGGAAGAAAACAAATTAATGATGAAGAGAAAATCTTGTTCAAAGAAAATAAGAGTAAATGAAACACAGAAATGATTAGGCTTTGTGAATTGAGACTAACTATCTCATTTTCTCCTTTTGCACCTTCATGTAGATTACTTTTTGATTCGCTTATCAAGTGCGACAAGTCTCGATGTCTTTTGATCATATCGGCGCTTTTCTAAACTGCTTTGTAATTTCCTTTTGCCTCCTCCTGCTGGTCGCTTGATTTGCACTAAGTTTGGAACATAAGAGCACATATGTGTGTAACAGCCTTTGTGGTTAGGTTCTCGGAGATCCAATTCTCTAAAGTATCCAGCCTCTCCAAGAATGTAAAATGTCTCGTCATCCAAAACCATGGCGACTTTCTTCTCCTCGTCAATGATGAAACTCTCAAGTGTTTCAGGTCCTGTATTTACTGTCAAGAATTTGCTCCAAGACACCTTGTCAGCCTCAATCTTAGTTGTAATCCATATCTCAATCACATTTGGATTTCTTACGTCGTTCTGAAGTAAAACTGAAAGCTTCTCTTCTCTAACACAAGATAAAGTCACATCGTCATGAATCCCACCGTCAAACGGCAAACGCAGAAGCGGCCCAAATCTCTCTCTTGTGAAATCAAAACAGATTATGTAATCTACTAATGCTGCTGGGTTTCTTTCTGAAGCACACCAGTAAGTGTTTCCCTTAAGAGAAATGCCAAGGTGAAAAAACTTTATATACCAGTGTGGAGTGACATCAAGAGTTGTCCATAAATCAGACTCAAAATTATAGATGTCATACCACATAAAGTTGTCTCTTTCGTGGTAACTTACGTCATTATCTTTAAACCTCAAGATTTTGTGGTTACGACGAGATTTGTTCTTCTTCAGCTTCTCCACGTATCCGAAAGCGTAACTGCACGTGTCACATCCCTTCACCGAGATGTAAGAATACCTGAGTTCGATCGACCTTGTTTGCCCGCAATACGGATTCCAAACCACAAGCCTAGTATTATTGTCTCCACTCAAGATGCATAACAATAAACCCTCACAATGGAAGACTTCAGATATCTTGACTTGATCTGAATCGTTTAAGAAAGTAAGTTTACCTAGAGTCTCTATAGATGGATCTCCGTCGACGTTCATTAAATAAAGATTGAAATCCATCAACACAATCATCATTTCCCTTCCTCCAAAGTGCATCTTTATAAAGCTCCGACTTTTATATAAACGGTTCCATTTTTTGCAAGTGAATCGAACGGCTCTCATAGATTTCATTGGAACCCGAGAGATTATCTCCTCTACCAATTCCTTCGGAAGATCTGAGATCGTCGTCATTTTTTCAGTTTGCAACTAGGTTTTCTGGTAACCTTGAAAACCCTGTGTTTTTTTTCCTTTATTTTCCTTTGATTTCTTGCGGCTGAAGGTAGAGGCTCGGTACATTATACAACAAATAAGATGAGATACATAAACCCTAAATGAAGTTGGGCCATTCGTGGGCCTATGAATCTTCGGGCCCTATTAAACAACTACATGAATTCTTGCGGGTAAAGGTGGAGGCTGGGAATAATAAATGAGATTCATAAACCCTAAATGATGCTGGGCCATTCGTGGGCCTATGAATTCTCCAACAACAACATGCACTTCAATTTATTTATAAAATTATATATATAAAGTTATAAACGGTCGAGAGAAACCTCTAAAACCGAAGAAACTAAACATGAATAAACCTTTATTATCTATATAACAATGTATAAGTGAAAAAACACACTAAGTAAACAAGCAATTTATATGTCACCAATAACCAAAGCCATAAACTCGTCAAAGTTTAAATAGCCATCACCATCGACATCCGCCGCTCGGACCTTTTCGGCACAAGTCTCCTCGGTGCATTTCTTCCCGAGGCTAGTCATAGTCACATAGGACTCACTGGCCGGTATCTTCCCGTCACCGTCAACATCACAAAAAACAAACACTTCCATCAACATCTTCTCAATGCACGAAGTAAACTCGTCGGCGTTTAGCTCGCCGTTACCGTCCACGTCGATCTCTTCGAAAAACTTTACGATATCATCCTGAGTAAAGTTTGGAGAGAAAGCAAGAGCCGCTTCACGAAACTCGTCTAATGTGAGTTTACCATCTTTGTTCTTATCAAACTTCTCGAAGACACGTTTTGCAGACATTTTCTTAACTTTTATGTTTTGTTGGATACTTCTTGTTCCTTTGTTTTTGAGAAGTAGTGTGAATATTTATAGGGTTTGGAAACCAAAAAATTATAAAAACTGATAGATATAGTCCAATTAATGATTAATTAAAAATGAAATATTCATAGAAAAATTAAGTGATTCAAAAATAAAGGAGGATATGTATATTAGGATACAGTACATGTAGATTTTATCCTAGAAATTGGATTTGTTCAATCTGCATGTTATTAATAGTTCTTCACTTACTTGTATCTCACAATAACTCATATTGTGTTAAAATGGATTGGGCTATCTGCAATAGTATTAACCTCTAAAGATTTGTAAATTTTGTCAAAAATTAGATGGGATTCAGTTTGACACATGCATGTAAGTAAGGGGAAAAGAAAAAAAAATGTAAGTAAATCAAGTTTATCTATACACTAATATTTAAAATGAAATGTGTACTATATTTGACATTTCTAAATAACTAAAATGTATTTGTTATACAAAATTAATTAGATATGTTCCACTATTTATTTATTTTATTTTTACCAACGTTCACCACAACACTGACGTCACCTGTTACATATATCAATTCGCAAAAATAGGGAAAAAACAAATAAAAAATGGAAGTTAGAATTTACACATTTACCCTTCCTCTCATTTTCTCTCCGTCCTCACTCGCCGACCATCGATCTTAGGCCAGTCCCGAGGATTCTCCGGCTTCTTCTAAAAATCAACCGCCGTCAAAATCGATTCAAAGCGAACCGGAGATTGAATGGAAGATGCAGCTGCTCCGAATTCTGGATCCGAATTTAACCCAGGAGCAAGACGCGGCAAATCTATCGATGAATGCCAAGACATGATTCGTAGGAGTTTCCGAAGTATATATATACAGACTAAGCATCTCCTTTTCAATCTTCGTTTTTTCTCAGTTTCTCAATCTTAATCCATTAGTTGTTTGATTAGCTCACTCTGTAATTTGAGAAATTCATGGAAAAAGTTTGGATTTTTTCGAGCAACCTAGGGTTTAGGGTTTTGGAATCATACCAGAGTAAAAAGAAACTTATGGGTTTAAGGAATGTTAAATCACTTGTTTGATTTATTTGATTAGATTGGTCTGACTTTGGGTTTTGAATGTTGTTTGATTAGACCCAATTGTGAAGTTTCTGATGGAGCAAATGGAGAAATCTGGGTGTAGAGTTGGTGATAATTTCGTTAAGGCTGTTGTTTGTACTGGACCTGTAGCTGGAGGTTACACTAAAGGAAGAGGGGTAAAACCGTTTCCATGTTTCTTTTTTTCGATATTATGCTCTCCAGCTCTTTGATGCTGAATCTTGCTATATTTCCTTTTGTTTTCTATGTTTCAAGATTACTGTCTGCAGTAACTATTTGACCATTCAAGATGAAGTCAACCAAGTAGTTATACATGAGTTGATTCATGCTTATGACGAATGCCGAGCCAAGAATTTGGATTGGACTAATTGTGCTCATCATGCTTGCAGCGAGGTGATTACAATGTTAGATAAGAGCTTTAATATGTAGCGCCAATTGATATGTTGTTGTCAAAATTCTTAAGTTTTGGTGTGTGTGTGTATTTTATAAACAGATACGTGCAGGTCATCTAAGCGGCGATTGCCATTTCAAGAGAGAACTCTTGCGGGGTTTCATTAAATTAAGAGGGCATGAACAAGTAAGTCACTATTAGGGAAGAATTGCAGTTCATATAAACACTTCTGGATGATTCTTGTCAGTATTATTAACCTGGTTCTTGGTTTTTCAAAAGGAATGTATAAAAAGAAGAGTGTTGAAATCGCTTCGTGGCAACCCGTATTGCTCGGAAGTAGCTGCTAAAGATGCGATGGAAGCAGTGTGGGATACTTGTTACAATGACACTAAGCCTTTTGATAGAGCTCCTTGAAGGTAGTAAGTCTATTACACTCTCAAAAGACTTATTATTGCTTCAAAGTTATGTGTTCAACTTCATCTTTGAAGATCGATATAAAGCCGGAAAAAACTGTTGGATTCAGTCATTGATTTTTTCCCCATGTATTTCTCACAATCCAACCTTTTTGGCCAAGTTAAACGATAGTATTTGTTTAGATTCTTTATATTGTTGTTTGAAACAAACGAAAAGGTCTAATACAAAAATTTTGATTTCAAGTGGATTTTGCTTGAAAGTATAATTTTGATTAATGGATTTGTATTTTACATCACACTGGAGGAATAAGGAGCTCTGAATCTAACAGTGTAATAGAAAGTTGATACATATCATTTGTGAAGAATTTTTTTTTATCAACTTGTGCATTATATTGTTATTAATAAACTTCTTTTAAACATAAATAATGTTTTTTCCAATTGATAATCACAGTCAGTGTTTTGAATCCAAGTGGATTTAAATTATGCATAATAATATACGAGTTTGAGCTGAAAATGATAGAAAGGTCACAAAATGTTAACTTATATCGTCAAATATTGATCAATTTCTTTCACTATTTTGTTCTTGTTGTAACAACAAAAAAAACGAAAGAAACAACTTTGTATTGACAGTTAATGAAAGACCATGTCAAATTCTAATTTTGGTAAATTCGGTTTTCTCATTAAATCGCCTAATTTAAAGCATAGCCTCAGCTTCTTCACATTCAAATCTCTTTATATAACACTTATGATCATTGATCTCTCCGACCAAAAGAACAAAACCACAAACAATGGCTGACGCAACGGAAAAAGCTGAGCATGACCGTATTTTCAAGAAATTTGATGCTAATGGAGATGGAAAAATCTCTGCGGCCGAGCTTGGAGATGCTCTCAAGAACCTAGGTTCGGTCACACATGAGGACATTAAGCGTATGATGGCCGAGATTGATACCGATGGCGATGGATACATCTCGTACCAAGAATTCTCTGATTTCGCAAGTGCCAATCGTGGTCTTATGAAAGACGTCGCCAAGATTTTCTAAGTTAAATTAACAGATCTAATCTATATTTTATATGAAAAGGTTTGAGAATTAATCATGTTTAATTTGTTTTGTATTGACAATCATTTGATGAAGTATGCTTTTTCTTTATGTCTTATTTTCATGTAATGGAAGGTCTTGGATTATTCTTGAAATGGATTGCTTGTAACGATATATTGAAGAATTCTCCATTCTTTAGTTTTTGTTTTTTGCGGTTTTGGCTGATCTAATTTGTGCAATACCGTAGTTAAATTGCTCAGCTTTGGTTCTAGACAAGAATGTGTTGACCAAGACCATTAGGGATGATTGAGTCATTGAGTCATTGAGCATGAATATGAATAACTAGAATGTAATAAAATACAGAAACCAAAACATAGAAAACTTTTATCTTCACATTTTAAGAAGGAAAAGTAGAATTATATTTAGAACATGTTAACTCTGATATTATAATAAATTTTACAAGATGAAATGAACTAAGTTTGATAATATATAATCTTTAGATATCTCTCTTAAACAGATTAACTAGAATAAAATTAATAAATTTGATATTAGCTCTTTGCTTTTACATACTTTTAGCATTTAAATTATTTCGCAAAAACATGTCCCATTCAATTGTTTCTAAATATAGCTACACATAAGATAAAGACCCTATAACAAAGAATGGTTGGTAATTGATCTTGATATTGAGGACCAAACATATATACTTAAATAATCGAATAAAATCTCTCAAATAGCTCTGGGCCATCTACATCATTTGTTCAAAAAATATCTTTTTACAACTAAAAGTTAAAAAAAACTAGAGAAATAGAAGCCATCCCTTAAAAAGTCTTTCAACCCAAAGTTTCTCCTATTAATTTGGATTTATTATTTTCATACAATTTGCTTTATACAATTATAATCAAAAAGCATATGAAAATGTCCCAAATAAAATATATATTTTTTGAGTAAAAAATACATATGTATATTGCCACTCGTGTGTAGTATAAATACACACGTACTATGTAACCGTTGGCCAACGCCTTAATCCTACGTCTCTCTCTTTCTCTCTCTTTCTCAGCAGATCTTTTCTTCTTTCTCCTGAAATGGACCTCGCCGGAGAAACAAACAGCCTTATCTCCACCGTCGCTTCTTTTTCTTCCTCTTCTTCCTCCGTTTCATCAATCGACACAAGCCTCGATTGCGATTCGCCACGTGGCGGAGATGTAGACCACGAATTGCTCCACTCGGCGGTTTCTTCGTCGGTGTCGGTTTCGGTTTCTTCGTCATCTTCTGCATCAATCCAGGGAGTACTAAGTTTAATCAGATCAGAGGATCTCGATTCGAGGTTGTTTGCTGCTAAAGAGATCCGTCGGCTGACAAAGACGTCTCATAGGTGCCGCCGACACTTTTCCCAAGCCGTGGAACCGCTCGTTTCTATGCTCCGATTTGATTCGCCTGAATCTCACCATGAGGCTGCTTTACTTGCTCTCCTTAACCTCGCCGTCAAAGACGAAAAGTACGTTCTTCTTCCTCTCTGTTTTTCCCCAATTCGAATTTGTTCTGTTTTCGTATTACTGATCAGCTGATTACTGAATTCTTTCTTAGCTTGGGATTAGTTAGATAATCACCACTAGATTAATCAAATCGGATATAGGAGATTACGTAGAAGATAGATAGATAGTTATAAGAATTTAATCATGATTCTGAAAACTAATGAAGATACCATTAATTACTACAATTGTTCCGAAAATCAGAGTCATGATTGAATCAATAGGTGTCACAAATCGTGCCTATTTTTGGTCGGCTTCGTGTAAGTTCATGATTAGGTAATTGTATCGTAATGGATAATCTCGATCGTAGCAATCTCGTTTTCTGCTTTAATCACTTTTCTTTTAATCAGATTGGGTGGATCAATCAACTTTTGTGTACAAGATTGCTTTTCGTTTGCTTGGAGTGTACTCTATGTTTCTTCAAGCTTTTTTTTGCTGTGTGTGTTCCTCCTTTATTTCCTTTTTTTGCTTACTTTTGAAGGATTTCTTGTTACTGGGAAATTCAAAATTTACCTAGGGTTCATCCATTTTTAGGGAACAGGATATATCGTCATCAGGGATACTCTTCTTTATTCCTTCTTTACTTTTAAATTATTCTTGGTTTATGCGATTTCTGGAGAATTCTGACTTATTCTTTTTTCGTTTGTCATGTTTTCTGAGAGTTGATTGGTTTCTAGTTGTAGATGAAATTTTGATTGATCCACACAAAAGATAGGACTCATGTTAGCTTAGCTTTACCTTTTTCTTTTTTTTACTAGTCTTGACATTCCGTTAGCAAGCAAAGAATCAAGTTGCAAGATAACACTAAAACAAGAATCTTTCTTTCTCTACCTAAACCGGCCGCAAATTCCCCCCTCCTTTGATTCCATCAGAAAGAGAGGACAATAACAAGCCAATCTCAATGCATCAAAGTGGTGCATCTTTAAATTTGTGTCAAACTAAAAACAGAGGATGACTTAAAGTTAAGTGATAGTTTATAGATGGAAATCACCTGAAGTTAACTAACTCTTTGCTTTGGGGCAGGTATGAATAACTTTGCCTAACTTAATTTATTAGCTCTTTCCGCATCTGTAGGTCCCCTGCTTTACCAGACTTAAGTATTTTGTGAATTTTATTCCTTGCTACTGAATCTTTCTTAGTTTATACGCAAACGACTTTGTAGTCAATTTCTTTTTTGGTCTAAACTCTGAGATCATCACTTTCTTTTATTAATGGGATCCATCTAGTGGAGAGAATACAAGGAGCAAGCAAAGTAAAGATACTAGACTCAAGCCTTTCTTTTTCTTCACTTTTCCTCTCTTATATTGTTTTCATTAAATATCTTCTCTACTTTAATTTTGGTGTCCCATAAACATTAATTAATTAGGTCGGCTTGGTTTTCCTAAGAGGTTAGGTTGGTGGCTTCAACTCTATTTTCCCTTGATTACAATTCATATGACTTTTAAATTGAATGCAGAGTAAAGTCTTATAGAAAGAAAGATTGATTTTTGCATATGTGATAAGAAACATATGTGTCATTGTCTTCAAGAATATTCTCCTCTGAGACTATTATTCTGAGTTTTGTTTGTTGATTTTTCAATTTCCAGGAATAAAGTGAGTATAATTGAAGCTGGTGCTTTAGAGCCAATCATCAACTTCTTACAATCAAATAGCCCAACACTTCAAGAGTATGCTTCTGCATCTTTGCTCACTCTCTCCGCGTCAGCAAACAACAAACCCATCATTGGAGCTAATGGCGTGATTCCTTTATTAGTCAAAGTCATTAAACATGGAAGCCCACAAGCTAAAGCTGATGCAGTAATGGCCCTTTCCAACCTCTCTACACTCCCCGATAACCTAAGCATGATCCTAGCGACTAAACCACTCTCACCAATACTCAATCTTCTCAAATCAAGTAAAAAGTCATCGAAAACATCTGAGAAATGTTGTTCACTGATAGAATCCTTGATAGTTTCTGGTGAGGAGGCGAGAACAGGGTTAGTTTCAGATGAAGGAGGAGTTTTAGCGGTCGTGGAAGTTCTTGAAAACGGGTCATTACAAGCTCGGGAACATGCGGTTGGCGTGCTTTTAACGCTCTGCCAAAGTGATAGGAATAAATACAGAGAGCCAATTCTTAGAGAAGGTGTGATACCGGGACTGCTTGAGCTCACGGTTCAAGGGACATCAAAATCTCGGACTAAAGCTCAGAGACTTCTCTGTTTACTAAGGGACTCAGAAAGCCCGAGATCAGAGGTTCAACCCGATACAATAGAAAACATAGTGTCAAGCTTAATCTCTCATATAGACGGAGATGATCAATCCGGTAAGGCAAAGAAGATGCTAGCTGAAATGGTGCAAGTTAGCATGGAAAAAAGCTTGAGACATCTACAAGAACGTGCTTCGACTCTTGTCCGTCCATAACCTGTGATAAAAAAACCGCAATCCCGAGGTCTCTTCCAAGCATAAACCGTGGTAAGACTCCGAATAAGGGTGATGAAGATTGATGAATATATATGCCAGTCCAGTTGCCGGCGTTTTGGTTCTTAGTGACTGGTTTTTTTTTTCTTACTCAAAAGTGTTCATAATAAAAGCAATTTGTAATTTAAGTCTTTTGGTGTGTACATTACTTATAGAATCGCTTTTACATTTTACAAGTTTCAATGATATTGTTGTGCCATTGGAGTGTTCATTCAATTCTTTTTGACTATACATTTAGATTGAATTCAAAGCTGAAAACCCCCAAAACTAACTATTTTTCAAGATCATCATATGTATCACGATGCTTGAGAACAATAATTATCAAAAATTTAGATCCACCAACTCTTTTGTAGAAGACCATTGAATTTGAGGCTTATGATCTCATAAAAGTAGAATAATTTTTCACCTCACATATTTTTAAAAGTTGACTACGTACATCAAGATCAATTTGACATCCATATTACCTCATCAAACCCATAATAAAGAGAGAGAAAAGAACAATCTGTTTGTTCTTTAAATGTTTCGAAAACAAAAATGTACCAAAAATATTTCGAAGAAAATCTTTTAACAAAGGCTGACATCAGTCCTCGAAACTGAAAGTACATTTTCGATCCGCCTTTTCAGAAATGCTCACGTTCACTTCCCATGTTATCAACGAAACTGTCCAAATTTGAAAACTATATCACACAAATCATTTAAATAATTTTTTTTTATATATGTATATTGGTTGAAGTAAAATAAAAAAACATTCAGAATCGTTATTATCCTTCCACATTTATTGAAAACTACTTAGCTCGATCTACGATACAAGATTTTACTCGTTCTCAAAGATACGCACAAGGTCCAAAAAGATAAAGTTGTAAACATTTAGGCAAAAACAGTTAAACACACAAAAACTTCGGGTTAAAAAGTAAAAACATACTAAAGTTACGGTCTCTTTTCCTAATTTTTTAAAACATTTATTATTTTCCCGGTTTCATGCAAGTCATCTCTACCGCCGCGACTCGCCACCTCCGGCGAGTTTCCACGCCGAGGTTGTGATGAGTGGTCGCGTCTGCCACCCAATCATTAAACAACCGTCATTTTCTTCAACTCTGTATCCATCTCCGGTAGCGTAAAGCGATAAAAGCATGCTCGCTTGTTTAAACGCGCTAGATCCGAGATGAACCGGGTCAAACCCAGCGGATTTCATCCGGATCCTCCACTGTGCCACCGTCTCGTGTCGCTCGACCCGATCGGATCCTTCCGCCGCGACAACGTTAAGTATCTGTCTCCCTAAGTACACTTCAGACATAACTCGGTCTTGACTCGGTAAGCTATAACTGTCTTCAAGCGAGTCAAACAAGCTCGAGTAGTAATGAAGCGCTTCGTTGAACCTATCGAGGAAGACGATTCCGTTGTGGTTCGCTTCTTGCTCAACCACCGTTATAATACTCGGTTTAATAGCTTTAACCGTGTTGAGAAGCTTTTCGATTGAACCGGATCGGGCTAATAACCGGTGGAGCTCAAAAACCGAATTAACCACTAATGTTTCAGAATCGGGTCGGGTTTCGAACATTTCCGGTTCTAGATCCGATAAACTCTCAGCGGCTAAACCTTTGAATTCGAATTCAACGCCCATGTTCTGAGCGAATTGAGCTAATTTCCAACCTAATTGTTGAAGCGAATCTGAATTCTCCGTCTGCGGTGGTCCGATTCCGGTGAGACGAAACGACGGTGGTCCACCGGGTCGGAGAGCTAAAGCTTGCATTAAAGCAGGCCATTGCATCCCTTGATTAAGCCCTAAATCGATGACGTGAACTCTACGCGCCGTCGTGACAGCTTCTAGAATCGCTTGGTTCGCCGTGAAATGAGCGAATTTCAGGTAAGGGCAAGAATCGTAGAAGTGCATCTGCAAAACTTCTTCCAAGGATCCGCCTGAGACGTCCGTCTCCGCCGTGTAATCACGGTAAATACGACGAGCCAAGGCTTGAGCAAAATAAGTAGCGACTTTTCCCATAGCTCCAGCTTGAGCAGCGGCGAGTGTTCCCACTCGTTTCACAAGCGCGTCGGCTAAGTTGAGATTCTCCTGCTGAATCGCTTCAGCGCACGCCACCAGCGCGTGGACGAGTCTAACTCCGGTCTCCTGAGAGTCAACGAGCACCACAGACCGAGTTGACTCACCCGCCGATTCGCACCAGGATCCGAGTCGGATCCTCTTGCTGCTAGCTTCCTCGTCAAAGACTTCTTCCTCCTTTGGAAACGCAGAACGACCCGGAATTGCTCTCAGATCGTATTCGGATCTATCCACACAACTTCGGGTCGGGTCAAGATCCGAAGAAGCCGGGTTGTTCAGCTCGGAGAGCATGCTCTCGACCCATGTAGAGAGATCGGATGGGTTATAATGAACAGTGTCGTTTAAGACAGTGGAACCAACATCATCATTAGACAAGACCATCTCAAGTTGCTCAAGCTTCTGTGCTACTTCTGCCATCTCAGAAGATCGAACCTTGTATCCAAGAACAGCAAGAAGCTCATCATCCATGTTGTTGTTGTTGTTGTTGTCATCAGCAACCTTCTTCTTATCCGCCATTGAAGGACCTTCTCCGGAACGAGAAGCTGGTGGTGGATCCCATGTTTCTCCATGTCCTCTCTTCATCTTTCTTGTTCTTGTGATGAGTTAAGAGACTGATGAGGTTTTGCATACAAAAAAAAAAAAAAAAAAGAGACTGATGAGGTTGGAAAAAAAGAACAAAAGAGAGTTTGGATATTTATTATAAGAAAGGAGTTTACTTTACTTCATGGGTTGGTAAGGTTTTTTACTAATGGGGATTTGAAAATAAGGTAATTGTGGGTCTTTTTGTGATTTGGTTACAGACAATTTTTGTGGAAAGAAAGGAGAGATTCTGAGAGGAACAACATATAAAAATCAGAGCATACAATGAGAGGTCCAATGAGAGAAGTGACTGTGAAGTGTGTTTAAGAGATAAGAATCAGAGCATGCCACTATTATTTGGCATCTGTTTCTCTCTTTCTTTCTTTCTTTTTTTCCCAACTCCAAGAACTTTACTCGTTTTTTTTTTGTAGTAATGGATAATTTTCTTTATAACGTTGTTTAGTAGAGATTTCTAAGAATTTGTTTAGTAGTTTAACCAATTAAACTTTATAACTTTTAGGTTTGTAGTGTGCTTTCGTCATATTTGTTGGTAAGATTTTTAAAGCTGTGAAGTACTCCATTAAAAGTGTCATAGTCTTATAGACAATTACAACTTAATTGTTCTTAAATGCCATTGAATTTGTCATATTCTTGCTTACGACTCTTTTCTAATGACAACTGTATTGAATTCTAGAAATATGATTTTTTAAAATCTTAGTTGAAATTATATAATCTTAGGAAAATATGATTGAATTCACATGTTTTAGGAAAATCCTTCTCAATATTCTGTTTTATCTTTAACCCATTTTCTCCTATAAATTGATAGTTCTGATTCCTATGATCTTAGTAGAAATTCTCTTCTCTTCGGAAAATATGATCACAGATTTCGAGTTCAAATATACATTGAAGCAAGAAGCCTATGTTGTTAATGTTTGGATAAAAATATAAATCTTCAAAGCAAACAAAGAGTGTCTGTTTTCAGCAGGTTTAATGTCATAGAGTGATCAGTTTTCAGAGATGTAACTAAACTCAGACAACAATAGATAATTAATTATTTTATTGGCCCATTTAGACAAGTGTAATCAGCCGCATAATATGATTCAACTATTACTCTCACTCTTGTTTCTCTTGACCAAGTTCTATTGTTCTGGACCTTCTGGTGATGTGAAGTTTTTCCTATCATAATGATAAACAAATTTGTGTTTTATTTCACTGAGATAAAACTACGGCTCAAGTATTTGAAGGGGACACATGAGCAACCTCTCATGTGCCACGTAGAGGAAGACATAGCCTACGAGACGTCCACAACATAATGTTACTTTCATTAATTTATTGCATATATCTTTCAGCAGTTTTATATATACACATCATCATCATGCATAATAATTAAGGTTTTTTGAATAGTAGTATACTGGTATGGTATCGTTTTGAAACCGTAAAAGATCCTTTTGGAATATAAGAAAATAAATTAAAAAAAAAAGGTTGTGGGGATTGTATGGTATGGTCCCAATCGCAGCTACAAGAAAATGATATTCGTTGATGTGTTAGAAGTCACATGGTGCATGCTTTTCCATTTTTAGTCATTTGATGTAACTTGTGTCTAATTTGGCCGGTTTTGCTTTTGTGGTTTACATTATTTTGTTACTTTTTATTTAGGATCCCTATTTAAAAATTCATAAGATGAGAATTGAAACTGAAGCGCGTCATGCTCACGCGCCGAAATTAGTCCAACTAAAAACACTTCACCTCCTTATTCACTCACTACCTTTCAAGTTTTTAACTACATCACCAAACCAAAAAAAATTCTGAGTCTTGGTTCCATATTACCGAGTATTCAAATCAAAATCCCCAGTTCGTCGCCAGTTCTCATGTTCCCCATTATCATTTTCTTCATCATTCAAGAAATCTTCTAGTGGTTCCTTCTCTTCTTTCTGGCTATTATTGTTGTTGTTATTGTTCCCCCATCCATTCATCAGCATCATCATCTCATTAGGGTTCATGTTACGCCCTTGTTCTCCACGATTCCCAATCGCATTAGCTCTCAACGGGTTACGAGCCATCATCTCGGCATGAGATTGTTGAGAATCTGCTGCCCTTGCTTGTCCTGCTGCTTGAGCCAAAGCCGCCATTCTAAACCTTGCCTCCTGAGCTTTCATCTCCCTATCCAGTTCAATACATGCGTTTCTCTCGTCTTGGAGCAAAAATTGTTCCATCATAAGCATTTCCTCAGCTCTGACTCCATCCCTTCTCTTTTGAGTTATCCTGTTGAAAGCTTGGACTTGTTCCTCAAATGTCGCCGTGAATTCTGCGACTTTGGCTGCAATGTTGTTATCCCATAGCTGACAGCGGGGTAACGCCTGGTTTGTTGTGTCTGAATCGAGGATACTATCATCTTCTTCTGCTTCGTAATCTGCTACGACGTGATAAGGTAACAATCTGCAAAACAAATGGAGAAATAACAGAGAAATTGTAAAATGTAGATAAACTCACAAGGAGAAAGATTAATTCATAGCCATGGATATATTATATATAGCAAACTTTATAAGAGATAAATTCCACATTGAATTCAGCAAGAGCATTAATAGTTCATATATGCACCAAATGAAACCAGGAGATCTGATGCATGAATTGAACATAGAAAACTTTTCAGCAATCCCGAGAAAAAAAGTTGAAGAACTCCAATAAAGCATTGGCCTTTATGATAAAATGATGATACACATAAAGCATTGGCCCTTTATGATAAAATGGTGATAGAGACACTAAAAGTTGGATATTCCTCTATAGAATCTATAAAACTAATGAGTACCAGAGAATCAATTCACTCAAAGAACAATTTCAAGAAATCACTATACCCAGAAATTTCAAGAACCCATAAATCAAAACAATTGGGGAAAAACAGAATGAGACGAACCTTTCACAAGCGTCTTCGAGAGAAGCGAAAGGTCGCTTGAAATCAGGATGGCAAACACGCCAAGCGTCTTGGTAAGCGAATTGTATCTCTAATTGATTCGATGGACGCATCAATTTCTGCTGTTGTTGCTGTTGCATCATCATCATCATCTGTTGCTGTTGCTGAAATTTATTGGCTTGTTGAATCAAATTAGGGTTAGGGTTAGCGTTCTGAAGAAACGGGTTAACGGGTCGGTTCGGAATCAAACCCGGTGGCCGGAGATGAGCGTCGACGTTCGGCGGAAACCTCGACATCGCCGCCTGTTGCTGCTGTTTCTGCAAATGCTGCATCAGAAAGAGCTGTTGTTGACGCTGTTGCATTTGTTGTTGCTGTTGCATTTGAAGTATGAGTTGTTGTTGTTGCAACTGCTGCTGCTTCGATTCCTCCATTTTCGAAATTTTAGGGTTTCTTTCTGTTTGCAATTGTTCTACTTCTCCGCCATGAAAGATGGAAGGAAAAACTAAAAGTATTTGATATTTATATTGAGACCCATTAAAGGCCCAGCTAGTTTTAACACATATGAGACAAAGTTTTTAATATACATACGACAAATAAGCCCATTGGGCTTTTTCGATGATGATATAACAAAAGCAAATATCACTTTCTCCTTGGATAAATATTTGCCTTGAAAGGGTTTTTCATGACCATTGTGATGAATTGTTGCTTCTCGGATAGATCAACTTCTTCACCTTCCACACATTTCCACTCGAATTTCCAAACCAAATTGGCCACATAATATTCGAGGTGAAGCAACGAAAGGGCGTAACCGGGACACATCCTTCGTCCCGCTCCAAACGGCATCATCTTGATCTCGCGAGTTCCCGTCATATCGAAATCATAGGCTTCTCCGTTCTCTAGAAATCTTTCTGGCTTGAACGTTAGAGGATCTTCCCATACTTTTGGGTCCCGGCCCATTTCTCCTACCATGAAGTTTATAGTACCTAATCCGACACAACAAAATCAAATACATGAAGGACTGGACTTAGTGGAGGCCATAATTTATTTAGAGTTTCGATAACCATTTCATCTCTAGAAAACTTACATGATGATGCTTCAAATTAAAGATTAACCTAATATCTTCTTTATATGTTTCCCAACATATTATGTTAGTGCATGGTTAAGGATTATATGTTAAATTCACTAAGCTATAATAATCATATGGGCTATATGTAAAATAATGTTTACCTTGTCGTGGAACAAGGAATCCACCCAAAACGGTGTCGTGCGTGACCTTATGGTAAGACAAGTAATGACCAGGAGGGTGTCTTCTTAAACACTCCAAGATCACAGCTTTGAGGTAACTCAACTTCCCCAAATCCTCTTCTCTGATCTCTTCCCTTTCTTCTTCTTCTCCGGCCAACACACTCTTCATTTCATCGTATACTTTCCTCTGTATCTCTGGATACTTCACCATGATCGCCATGATCCACTGCATCGACGTCGCCGTTGGATCCGTAGCTGCATTAAGAAACTCCGAACAGAGACTCACGATCTCCGATTCACTAAGTTTCCTCTTCTTCCCTCCTTCTTTATCCTCCTCTGTCGGAATCTCTAGGTTCAGTAGCGTATCGACGTAACAGAGAACATCTCCGGTGGTTTCTTTGCTCCTTGCGTTCACGTATCGGAGTATAACGTTCTCTTGAGATTTCCTTAGTTCTAAGAACTCTTTCCATTTTCGCCGGAGCAAGAACTTGGTTACGCTTGGGAAGATGTTGAGGACGCTGAACTTGGTGTAGCTTATGAGCATTTGGTACTGAGCTTCTTCGATCTCTCGTATCTCTTCTCTTCTCAGTTTCTCTCCGAAACACATCAGAGCCAATAAATAAAACATGGCGTGACGGAGATGATCTAAAGCATCGGAGACATGTCCTTTCTCTCTCTGCTCTGTTTCGAACAGATCCACGAGGATCTCGAGAGACCATTTCCTCGACGGCGCGTGAGCTTTCACGCGCGATGGTTGGAGGATTTCGGAGGTGAGGTTGCGGCGGAGGGTTCTCCAGAGAGAGCCGTAGACGGAGGAGTGGATGTCGTGTTGGTTGCTGGTGATGACTTTGGTGGTAGGGAGAGCGAGAGAACGGTCGGAGAAAACGGCACCGTTTTGGACGAGGGCTTGGTGAGCGAGTGAGCTGTCTGTGACCCAGATAGAAGGTTTTGAGCCTACGTGGAGGGTTATGATTGGTCCGTGACGGGATGCTAAGTCACGGAGAACACCTTGGAAATCGGAGAAGCTGTTTTTCTTGAGCCAGATGATGTTGCCGATGACCGGAAAACGAGGTGGTCCCGGTGGGAGTTTGTGAGTTGAGGAGAAGAAGAAGAGTTTAAGGAAGATGGCGAATGTGAGAGAGGAGATGATGAGGAATATGATAGCGGTGATCTCCATTGTTGCTCTTCTTGCTTCAAATTAAAGCGATTGTTTATTATTTATAAGGAAAAAGTGTGAATTAGATATGATTAGAGAGAAAAAAATTTGTTAAAAAAAAAAGATATGATTAGAGAGATTTGACCCCCCCCCAAAAAGAAAATGATTAGAGATTCGTTTCTCTGTGTCTTTTTTGTTCGTGAAAATATTATGAATAGTAAAAAGAAAATAGACAACTTTTTTTTTGGGCTATCTAGTTTGTATCCTATACTATTATTTGGGGAGTACACTTTATAAGATACCCTTAACTAACCTTTCCTTTTGTAAAAATTTACTTAAGAATGCCATTACAAAAATCTTCTTTTAGAACAAATTTCATTCAATTTATTAAGGATAAACAAGTAAAATACTAATTTATGTCATTTAATTAATTTAATTAAATTATAAAACGAAAATCTGTTATTTTTTTTTTAAATGACCAATCAAAATGAACATATAAGATTTGATATCTAACTTACCATATTAATTTGTTATTAATCATTAAACTTCACCTCTCATCTTTATATAATTATATTAATATGAAACAAATAAAGCATCATATCATCTACATAATAAAAAAAAAGTTTTATTTGCATATGCCAAGATTTGAATTTTTAAAAACGCATATAAATTGTTCAATCTATAAAGGAAACAATTAAACGGGTCAAAAATTCAGACTTGAGTAATATATTTCTTTTACACAAAAATAAAGTCAACAAAAATTCCGACTGAGCAACGGGTCAGAATTTGAATATTTATATTCGATTTCATACATTTATTTTTTTGAAATGTATAATTTTATATACTACAATAAAAAAATTAAATATCTTAATTTGCAACATTTAAAATAAGTTTTACTTGATATTTTTAGAGAATATTATCAATACTTAATAGTTCAAAAAGTTAAAAATTATAAATACTCTAATTTGATTATTTTTAAAAATATTTATAATAGATAGCGGGTTAAATATAATATATTATATGATGAAATGAGTTTTGATCCTTATAACTATTTGAATAGTTATATTTAATTTCATATAATTTGTTTTTTGAAATTCATAATTTTATAAACTACAAAAAAAAATTAATGATTTTAATTTGGAATATTTAAAAATAGTGTAGAACATTTAACTATGGTTTGACACCTCTAAATATTTGAAAATTTGATTCCGCAAGCAATTTTAGAATTAACGAATAATAGATTGTGCACGCAATATTTTAAAATGAAATATTGAGATTCTAAACTAAAAATATAGACTTCACGCACGGGTTGATTTTGATATTATTATATACTAAATATATGTTTATAACATATTCGATTATGCGAATAATTGGTAAATTCCGTAATTATAAATCTCAATTCAAATTCTGTAATTAGATTAGCTCAAACAAATCTCTATTTCAACAACCAAAGAATTATAAATTGAAAAAGAATTTTCTAAATTAATTCAAAATAATAGCTAATTTTCTTAATTAATTCAAAATAATCTTTGTTTTATATGCGATTCATTTATGATATTTTAATTTTTGATCTAACTGAAATATATGCAATCATGTTTTGTGGTTGTTAACATAAATTAACTCATTGTTCAAAAAATATTACTTTAAAAAAAAAAAAATTATTTTCAGTTTTCATATCCTAAAAAAAAAATTATCCATAATTGAGTATTATAGAAAAAATTCTATATTTATTCTAATATTGTATATAGGGACTGACAAAAAAATTAATATTTTTTCACTTACTATTATAATATATTAAAATTTAGTTCTAAAATATATTATATAAATTTTGTAATAAATAAAATTTAACCCGTACTTTAGTACGGGTGATGATCTAGTTCATGTGTAATAGGTTAACGTTGGAAACATTGTTCAATTGTTATTTTTCTTTAAATGTTTCTAGACCATTGATTTAATGATCGCATGACTTTGATGTAGATATCTCTGTACACTTGTGTATTTTGGTCCACCCAACGTGTTGTGGTGTCATCATTGAACAAAATTCAGAAAAAACCTTAAAAAGAGGAAAAAATACGCATATATACGAACAAGGTAAAACAAACATTATGTATGTACTACTATGTTTCGTATCCTCGTATTCTTTCAATGAAAAAGATCAATTTAACTCTCATGAGTTTTTTGTATTGTGTCCTGAATGCGGTGAAGCTACTTGTGAGTTTTTCTTAACATCTATCGTGTGATCTATTATAAATTTAGGATTAATTTTTTAGTTCAATGAAATATATATTGACAACAAAAAGAAAGATATTATCCACACAAAAAAAATACTCGAATGGGAGTGTAATGAAATTGACAAGTGACAGAAAATGTAAAAGTAGTATCGTGTACGTTGCTGCTTCTAGCTTTGTTTTCTTTCAATCGTGTAAATAAATCCGGAGCTTAACAATTTCAGTTACTTTGTCAGTTTGTAGCTTAAGTGTCTTCATTCAACTTTTACAGCTTGCTTTTTCATTGTTTTCATTTATTTTTATCATGTTCGTCGTTGATAACAATGTTCCAAAATTTGGTTTAGATAGTCTATCTTGTGGCACAAAGTCACGAATATTTTTCCATGAGCGTATTCAGATCCAAGAAATTTCCCAAATGAATTGGTAGGACTCTAAATAGAAGATAAGCTCTTGAGAGTGTCACGATCCTATCTATGAGATCAAAACTAATTGGAGCCCCTATGAAGAATGTCTTGGTGGTATGCAATTATTTGACCTTTAAATTTTATGTGTCTTTAATTGAAAACCAATTGATATATAATCAGTGGATTGATATTGAGATTTTTTATTTATGTTATGACCAAAATATTTATGTCTCTATTAAAAAAAAAATATAGTTATAGATAGTATTTGCGTTAATCCGTATTCGAACAAGTAATGGTTTGATAAATAATTCTGTTATTTGACCATGGAGATAATGCAAAGGTCACTAAAGTCGCCACGTGAGCCAAGTAGTGAAGAAAGAAATTTTGTAGGTTAGAAAATTTGTTCACATTTTCTACGATCGTGAAAGCTCTAAAAAATCCACCTCCGTCTACCAAAACATGAGAATTTTTCAGAAGAAATAAAAAGTTTGATTGATCCTTGAAAAAATATGCAACAAGTAAATTAGCTGCTACACTACTGATGTCTAAAAAGATAGGAAATATTTACTACATTACTAATAACGTATCGACTAAGCTCTTAGAGCGAAGACATAAAAACGTTTAGCACTCCATTTAGCTCTGCTACGAACCTCTCCATTGCCCGCACCGGCAAGCTAATCGCCACAACGGTACCCGTCTCACCTTTTTTATTCTTAAACGGCACGTAGAAGCTCACTCCTGGAAAAAGCGCGATACCGGCCTTAGCGGTTCCACCGTACACTGGCTTACCCCACGGTCCAAAGTCAACTTTTCCTAAATCAAAATGTCTCAAATCCGATATTATGTAGTTCCCCGCTGTCACAAACATAGGCCGGCCTCTAGTCGCCATTAGGGCCGTCACTGAGCGGACATAGTTCTCGGTCACACTTGACTTCGTTTCTTGTATCAACCTCAAAGCAAACTCAAGCGGTTTCTCCATAAGATCTCTTGCTGTCGCTATTGCCGCGGGAATGACAAACACATTTCCGTAGTATCCCGGCGATAGCGGTGGGTTGCTAAGCTTGGAACGCGAGTTGATGATGCAAGTTAGTCGCATCTCAGTGTTGGGGTCAGGATTCAACGCAATTGTTCGACAACGCCACAAAAATGACGACAAGGCTTCAAATGAGGTATTGCGGAGATCGGACGGAAGGAGTTTCCGTATGGCGGAAATCTCTTCCGCCCTGAAAAAGAAAGACCGGCTAACCAAAGGGTCTCCAGTGGCGACCACATCGATGGCCACCTGTTCTTCATACTCACGGTGTGTGTGAGTCACAAGCGCCTCCGAAGCACTCACAGTCAACAAGTGTCGGTCCCATACTGGTGGAACCGAGGGTGCGTGAAGCCCACACGCCATCTCGCATAGTGATTTCAGAAAGAGCGAGAGGCCGGCTCCATCGGTCATGGTATGGTTGAAGCGGAGGGCAAAGATAAATCCGCAGCATTTCAAGCGCGTGACCTGCACGTGACTCATTCTAAATCAAACTAAACTCTGTTTCATTCACTCTAAAGAAAGTTTAACTGAATTCTATCAAGATAACAGAAAATCTAGACGCGTGAGCTGCACGAAAACCATGGACTGACCTGGACGAGAAGGAGAGGAGTGTTAAGGACATCACTAGAGCCTTCCACATCAAAGAGAAGTTCTTCTAGGCAAGGGAACGGGGGAAGAAGAGCACCAGCCTCCTCCAACTCAGCAAGCGACACGTCAGCTTCAGCCTCGATGAACAAAACGCCTTCACCGGTGCAATCCACCGCGAGTTTCCGGTTTGAAAGTTCCCGGAGCCTACCAGCGAACGGATAGTAGTAAACCAGTGCATCGGCGAGGGCTTTCTTTATCACTTGGACCGGATCAAGATCACTTGAAAGGTTAGGTCTATAGAAAAATATAACTGGAATTTGAAATCTTAGTCCTTGTTGGTCATCTATGTCGGAGAGAGGCTTGAGCTCTCGTGGCGTTGGTTTAGCCGGAGTGATTAGCTCCGGCTGCTGGCGATGCACCTTGAAAGAGAGACCAGTGGTGGTAGATTGTGGCAGAGACACTTGATGGTCCATACTTTGAGACTTTGAAGATAGAATCGCATGAGACACGGTCTTCACCACACATACATATATATATATACGTACTTATATAATATTGCACATTTTACGTATGTTAGTTTGGTGTTATGAGATTTTTTGTTAACGGTTGGTACTAATATCTTTTATTGGACAATGGAAATCTCATAATACCAACAAATGTTCTCGAGTGTATTAACCTAAAACATTTTTAGACAATAAAGATAACACGTGTAGAAAAAGAATAACTTTTGTATTTTCTCCACCAATCAAAATAAAAGGTGCAAAGGAACGCTTTGGCTTGAAAAAACACAGTTAGCTTAACTTTCTTTGAAAAATGTATTTTCAGTTGGGCAGAATGATTTTGTGTGATTGGCTATAATCATAGAAAAAGGACAATAAACAAGATAAGACTTTTTTTGTGTGAAATTCCAATCATAATTGAAACAGAGCTTTTGAGTTTTACACTAGAGAAAAAAACGACATAATTTTTGAAGCTGTTTGGCCCTATCACATTAGACAGCAATTTGGCGAGGACTCCAGCATCTCTGGAGATCTGTGGATAAAAAAAAAACATGAAACATTGGTTCTTTCTCAGGTAGGGGAGAACCAAACCCAATTGAGAAAATGAGATATAAAGGAGGAAAGAGGAACTCACATTTGGCCTAGACTTGCGAAATCAAACCCGGGATCGATCTCTTTAACTATATCACTTGGGGGTTGTCCACATTCTTGCATCTTCTGCATGATCTCCATTATCTTAGATGAATTGTTCGGTTCATTCTCGTACACCGCATTGAGTTCTTCTATTAGTTTGTACTGTTGTGAATAACGTTTGTAGTCTTCTTTGCTTAGACTGGCTTCATTCTCTTTTAGCCATTTTGGATATCTTGCACCAAGCTCCTTCATTGGCTCGTGGAGAATATCCTTCGACAATAGCTGTTGCATCATCGTTTCGACTATTGATTCCAAGTCCTAATAAGCAAAAACAAGATGAGAGTCAACAAAGCGGAAGATACCAGGTAGAAGCATTATCTAGATATAACCTTAACATAGCATAAAGAACAAATTCTACCAAACAGCCACCAATCTAACACAGTGCAGTTAAATCATAACCTTGAAGACACAGGAGAAGAAGAATCACACATCTGTTCCGCGCTGAAAACATTATCCAGCAGAATAGAAATCACATTGTTCTGCTAAAATCTACTTCTAGTAGTGAAGTAAAGACGGTACAATAGTTGCATCAGATAATAGACGACTATACTTTCGAGTTCCAATTCAATTAAGTAGAGACAGATTCAGTTTCAGGGCATTTATTTACCTTGGATCCAGTAAGATCCTCGAATTGCTTGAGAATATCCTCAACCATTCCATCATCATCAGAAGCTGGCAGCTGCTTAGAAGAAATGGATTCCAATCCTTTGACAGTTTCCCTAGTTTGTTCCCTAAGCTTATCAAGAGCTTCAGCAACATGATCCTCTTTCGAAACCTTTTGTTTTCCTTTCTTCTTGTTTCTCATATCTGGTAATCCCATTCCAAGACCTTGAACTCCACTCGGTAATAGAACCGTCTCTTCTTTCTTCTTCTTCTCCTCCTCTTGCGCTTCCCTTTGATTTCTGCAACAGCACATCCCGAAAACGACTCAAAGTTAATAAAAACAAAGAAATCTCTAACTTGGGAATTGAAAGTCTCTAAACTCAATCAAAAACATATACACAGAGCAGTTCATATCTGATGCAGAACAGAGACCAATATAAAAAGTTTGAGACTTTGGAGCTAAACAAAAAGGATAAAGGAGTAACCTTTGAGAAAGATTGAGATCTTTGAAATCATCCAATGCACCTGAGAGACAAAACCACAGAGAAACCCCAAAATTCTCACAGAATCAATAAAACCCCTAAAAGACAAAACCGTGCAACAATCATGAACAAAATTTAGATAGAATTCGAGTAAACGCCGATCAAATTGAAGAGGAAAAACTTACTATCGAGAAGCTCGTCTAAGTCATCGGTGTGACTGTTGGCCATTTTCCTTAGGCGTTTCTCTCCCTCTCTATCTCTCTGTCTAAACAATTCGCAGATGGGAGTAGGAAGAGTATCAGAGAGAAGAGAAGAGAGAACGATTGACAGAAGAAGAAGAAACCTTTTTTGGGTTTGCCTTGTTTTAGACGGTGCGATTGAATTGATGTGACGACGCTTCTTTGAGTTGCGGTGAAGCAAAAGGACTCCATCCAACGGCTGAGATCACTTTTATTTTTTTCCGATTAAAAAAATCACAGAAAAAGAGATCTTTTTTAAAAAATTGCTCTCTGAAGAATTTCAGAGTCTCAGCAATGGCTGCTTCTCCTCCGTACATTTTACTTCTTCTTTGCTTCCTGTGGCTGTCTCATCAAACGCCGTGAGAAAGCGATTCGAATTGTTTTAGCTCGGTTTTTCCGATTTGCTCTGATGGAGTGTTTAGGGTTTCAGTACTAGAGCTTCTCAAGTTAATGATTCTGGATCTATTGATCAGACCCTTATGCAATCCATGGAGAAAAAGGTGACATTTTGTATTTTCTCCATTGTTAGGAATCATAACTTATGATCTTCTTTAGAATTGATAATGCTGCCACATTATATATATTTGAAATGGTTGAAATTGGGTTTCATTGAGCTAACTAAGATCACATTAGAGCAAATCATGAATCATGAGGCATCTAATTGCTTGTGTTTAAGCTTGAAGAAATGTTTGGTCATGAGGTTTTCATTGCGCAGATCAAAGAACAACTGGATGCAGTGTCGGTTTCTGTCAAGGATATGTCTGTTGACGGACGACGTGCTTGGTAACTCTTGCTTAACTCTTTATTCTTCTGTCAATCACATTCACATACCCTAAAGTTTATACAATTCCAAGTTTCTGTGTGTTGGAGAGTTGTGTTTCTGAGATGAAGATGGACCACATTTTTTACTAAGCACCCGCAACTTTAGAGCCCATCTTCTTTAGTGAAAAATGAATAAAACTTTGTAACAGTTCTGTGTTAAAATAGTCTGGCTTGATGTCTCATTGTTCTGGTGCAGCATTAACGTGGTATCAGCGGCGTTCAAGGGAAATCCTCAGTGAACAGGCAGAGGATGATGTATAAAGCCATATGCAACGAGGAGCTTCAGAATGTGGTTCATGCGGTTGATCAGATGACAACAAATACTCCTTCAGAAGTTTGAAAAGCTTACACAGGTGTGACCAAAGCTTAGAATCTTTATCCTGGAGTAATTGAAGAAAATGACAGCATAATAAATCAGCCAGAAAAAGATGTTTCTGCCTTCATTGACTATGTCTTCAGACTGGTAATACTTATATTATCTACTAAACATTTCATTGCCTTACCAATCTGACACAAGTTAGATTAATACGGAAAGTATTGATAGAAGTGCATGATTTAGACTGCTCAATACCGGAGTTGGTGACTAAATGTAGTATACATGCTTCTTTATGCTAGGTGATTACAAAGAGAGGACATACATCATAAAAACCCAACTCTTGTTCATTTACTAATATCTGAGGAAATCCTCTTCTTTGACAGAGATTCTCCGAGACCGGTGGTCGGAAATCAAAGGAAAGAAGAAATTTGGCCGCAATTCCGTCAAGACATGGCAGCAACAAAGATAGAGACAGGGATAACAGTTTGTGGACTGGTCGAGTGGAAGGCTATCGTCAATGTTTAGCTCACCAGACACAAGAAGCTCATGGTAGCACAAAAAGACTCATCAGGTATTGAGAAGTTATCAGATTACCTGTTTGGTGGAGTTGAACCGGTTTGGAAACGGGATCTTCATGATTCATCTGCCCAAACGTTTTATTGAGGCTGATGACCAATTTTTGAATTTATACCAATAAGCACAATTTTGAGTCTGATGACCAAATGTTGACTTTATATCTACACAAAAATAAACTGCACAATTTTGTTAACCATTAACTCATTAAGCAATGTTTGATTGATCTCAAGGCCTTTGGTAATAACTCTGTTTTGTGGCATGGTTTTAGGTCACTAGTACATAGAATTGGTTCTCCCAAACTCATATAATGTCCATGGAGCTGCCCTTGGTAAGTAGAACCTAATCCTGGCTCCAGAAACGCTCTTCTTATTCGAGGTACGTTTGATTTCTCCTCTTTTTGCTGTCTAATCTTTCCCTTTGGGAGGGAGAAGAAATTATTCCGATGAGGACGAGCGGTTAGGTTTACATAGATTTTGAAATTAGAATTGATTTAGGTTCGGTTTACATGGTATTGAAGTTAGAATTGATTTCGGTTCGGCTTACATTGGTTTTGAAATTAGAATTGTCGGTTTGCATTGCAAATAATAAGGTTTGAGAACCAAAAAAAAGACACGCGAGGGTTTTTTAGAAAGGAGCGAGTGTGTTTCAAAACAGGCGATTTGGTGGGTCACCCACAGAAAACGGAGACACGCGCTCAACTCGCGAGTGGTGAGAGTGGGCGTGAAATCGCGAGATGGGTGAGAGAGGGGTATGACATGGAGCCATCTGATTGGCTAATATAATGAAAATAGTAGAGATGTAGCTCCTACCTTCCTATGATAATTTATATAACTTCACTTTTTGTTCAGAAGAAAGAAGCTAATGACTTATGAAAATTACTACTTCCGTCAAACAAAAGGTAGTCAGATGATTACAAAAAACTTCTAGACAAAATTTTGAGCTTGTTTATATTATTAGCCAGCTGAGAATGTAATTAAGATTTCTTCAATCTCATGAAAGTTGGTGTTTTTAGATACAATTGAGACTCTTATTCTGAGGTTTTTGGGTTCTTTTGAAATCCTTTGATGTCACCAAAAATACGCAAAATTTTGTGAATTTGTATGCTGGCAAAGTTTCATTCAACAATTCTGTGTTCATAGAGGATCAAAAAACAACTTTTTGGAAAGTGATTTTGACAATACTTTGTTTAACTCTCTTGATAACATCACTTCACTGACCACTGTGGTTTCAAAAGGGATTGCTCACACACTGTTTAGTTTTTTGTATTTTTTTCATTGTTACAGCATCTGAATAATCTTCCATTTCGTTTTATGAAAACAGAGTTTTTGATTTCTTCAGTCCTCTGTTCTTGAGAGGTCGCCTTGGTGGTGGTGATGAATCGCTGAAATAGCCAACCATATACATTAAGAAAACTGCCATTAGAAATCCACAAGGACAACCTATAACTGCAGCTTTCCATCAAAACATTGTTTCCTCTTTATCTTCCTCTGGCTGCTTGGTCTGTGTAGAGCATGGTTCTTGGATTTGCATTCCACATAGTCTGTTGTTGTTCGCGTAAGTGTTTGGATCGTTCAATCTGTCTTGCTGAGGACTCTCAGGGATTCTACCTGTAAATTTGTTGTTTTTCAACTCCAATGCATTCAGCTCGCTGAGCTTGGAAAGTGTCTGCGGGATTTCGCCTGAGAGGTTGTTGTGTGAAAGGTCTAAGATCTATACCTTCTCAAGATTTCCAAAACTTTGTGGGATCAATCCAGAGATGTCGTTGTATGAGAGGTTTAAAAGCTTTCAGCTTTTGAGATTGCGTAAAGAATATGGGACTTCTCCGAATAGCTTGTTCTTGGAGAGTTCTATCAGAGTGTAGAGGTAGAGGTTTCTGTTGGCAAGACCATGTTTTGAATTCTTCCAGTTCACTGATAAGTTGTGTATTTCGATAGTGAAGTTGTACTTGAAATGCAAAGGCGAAGACGAGCTCGGGAGAGACTATTTCATGCTTGTGAGATTCCCAAGAGATGAAGGCAGAAATCCATCAAGATTGTTCTCAGAAAGATCCAATACCTTGATCCTGAGAAGTTGTTTTCAGTCAGCATCAATATCATGACCCATGTTTCGCCTACCATATCAGGAATCTGACCAGAGAAGTTGTTTCTTGATAGCGCAAGAACCGATAAGCTTATAGACTGAAACAAACTAGGAGGCAATGAACCTGAGAGTCTGTTGTCTGAAAAAAGTATGGTTTCGATTTTCAGATCAGCCAACCATTGGGGAAAATTTCCTTCAAGTTTGTTCATGCTCAGATCCAGGAAAAGAAGAGCTGTTTGATTCTTGAGCCAATCCGGAATTTTTCCTTCTAAATCACAAGATCTAAGTGACAGATGTGTTAACTTAGACTGTGCATAGACAGAGCCATTCTTGTTCTATTGGAGTTTGTTTCCTCCTAACAGCAATATCTTCAGCTTCTGAAGACCAAAAAGCCAAGTGGGAATCTCACCTGACAAGCCATTGTTATTCTCAAGCTCTAGAATTTCAAGGTTTGTCAGATTCTGAATGGACAATGGAATTCCACCAGACAACTTGTTCAAGCTCAAAGACAGAGTTGATATATTGACTAACTTGCCAATACCGTCAGGAATCTCAAAAGACAATGAGTTGTTCTGGAGATCTAATGTTTCGAGCTTTGTCAACTGTGATACAAACAATGGAGTTGTTTGATGCTCATTGTCACCTCCAAGACAAGAGGGTCATCGACGAAGCCTCTCAGCTCATATCTGCTGCTTTAGCTGTCGGTGTTACCAATTTCGCAGTCGATGGAACCTCCGAGGTATTTTCCCAAATTTTCCTGATCGTTTAGTCACGATTATCTACTATACTCATGTATACATATTTTAAACGTGTTTTGTTAATGGAGACAGAAAAATTGGGACTTGGTGAAAGGGATGGGAGAGACGTATCCTTCTGTTGTTCCTTGCTTTGGACTTCATCCTTGGTAATGTAGACGTATCCTTTTCTTTTCTATGTTTTTGGTTTGCAGGTTTATTGCTGATAGAAGCCCTCATTGGTTTAACACATTGAAGAAGTTCTTTGAGACCACTCCCATTGCTGCTGTTGGAGAAGTTAGTGTCTTTATCTCTTATTCATCTAAACTAAAATCTATGTCTTCTAATTCTTTTTGAATTCTGAAATGTTTGCTTTGTTGATTCAAGATTAAGTATAAATTGTAATGTATGATATTTTAGAGTGTATTGAAACCTCTTTTGGCTGAGATCTCATCAAATTAACATCTTCATAAAATTTTATGTGTTTTTGCAGATTGGTTTAGACAAAGGTCCCTTAGCAGGAGGAATTGATTACTCGGACCAGCTAGTCGTGTTTCGCCCACAGCTTGAACTTGCAAAAGAACTAAACTAACCTTTAGCAGTTCATTGCATCGATGCCTTCGATGATCTCCTAGAGATAATGAGGTGTGTATATATACATATCTACATGTTGCATTTACAAAGATATTGCACTAAGTTTCTCGAAATAAATAGATGCAGATCCGTAGGGTCTTTTCCTGCTGATGTGATTCTTCATTCATTCAATGGTTCAGCTGAAGTTGTTCCTAAACTCAATTAGCTTGGTGCATACTTCTCTTTCTCTGGCTGGTTCACTTACATTGGTGAGAAAATTGCGAAGAAGACTTTGAAATCGGTTTAAGATCAAAGAGACAAAAGAACAATCGTCTTCTGCTTCTGCTGTTGTGTGTTATTACTTGGATAAGAAAAACTCATTCAATACCAAAATTATGTTGTTTTCTGTTGCTTACTTGGTAGAAGTTGTAACAATGTATTTCTTCTTATTGACTTGTGTAAACCAGTTATGTTGTTTGATTTTTTCGATAGTTTACATTTTCTCTTATAAATTCCCTTTCTGAGGAGAGATTTGTTTTGCATACTTGTGTGACTTACAATAAAACAGATCAACCGAAGAATAGAACTAAACAATAACACTCTAAACACTCCAACAGGAGACATCAAAAGCCACACACACACACGAAATCTCGTATAAGAAGAAGCAATGCCAATCCTTCCACTGCATTATTAGTTTTACCTGAAACTGATTTAGTCAATAACATTAAGATATCAAGCAACCTATAAACGGACTAACGAGTTTGCAAGAGAGAAGACAACAAAAAGAAAGGATGAAATGTCTGAGAATCTTCCAACATATGTCGTCTTCAAAAATATGTTATCCTCCTCCACACCAAACTTGCCTCTCTACATATAAGATTGGTGTTTCAATGCAGCAGTTTAAGGTACTCGATGTGCTCCTGCTTTCATGTTGTGATCTCAGAACCAGGCTGCTTCACTCTCGACACATAAAGCACAGCATTGGTAGGTTGATTTCAACCTGTGCTGTATCAATCAAGTCCTCAGAATCTGGCTTCTGCTCCACAAACCAAGATTGCCTGTAGCGAACATGTTAGGAACAGAGACTGTTTTGTATACAAAGAAACCATTTAGAATAAAATTAGGAATGGAGTTGAAATTCTTCAACTTATTAGTAAATGAAATCGGATCTAATTTAGATTTCCTCCATAATACTGAAAAATTCCAACGGTTAGATTAATAAAAGTTATAAATAATCCCAACGGTTAGATTAATAAGCAAAGTTTGTGATACTCCTCAACCTTCAACAAAAAAAAAGGAAATTTCCTTTTCCTAAACCAATTTCCTTTTCTTTTGTGGTTTTGATAGCTTATAAATACACAGTCTCACGCATCTTATCTTCTTCATTCTTGAGAAATCAAAATTCCCTATTCACCTTCTTCTTCTTCTTCTTGTTCGTGATTAACAAAAATTCTATTTCTTCTGTTCGCCGGATGATGGATGATCTCAGTTTCGTCTTCAAACTGAAGTAAGCCATGAATTCAATCGAGTCCATCATCTCAGTTTCGTCTCCCACATCCGCCAATCGAGGATGATTTATTTCAGAACCAAATTTCACCGGCGGAGAAGGAAGAGATCGGCGCCAGTGAAAGCGAGGAGCACCTAAGAAGGTTTTTGATTAGACTCTAACATCAGGAAGAAAGAAGACTGCTCTTTATGAGAATAAAACACAGTCAAAGAAGACGTACAAAGAGATGCGAGTGAAGAAGACGATCAACGTTTTCTCAGATTTTTCCAAGTACCAGACAATTACACGGTGGGCTTCAAATGGGCTTTTTGTATGGGGGCCTCCTTTGCAAACAAATCCAACAAGGTATTACTTTCTTCATTATTATTCTTTTCTTTCAAAATTATTTTAAGTAAAACTAAAACTAATTAGTTTAAAACATTCATTAAAACATTTAACTAAACAAAACAACACAAACATCTATATTGTTTTAAGGTGCAAGCGAGATCTGAAGATGGTCTCACATTCAAAAACAAAAACAACACAAACATCTATATTGTTTTAAGGGAGGCCCAAGAAGAACAAGATTGCAAAAACCATCCCACATATTTTTGTACGCAAAAGAAAAATCTTTCAAACCAGCTTGGTGTTTACCTTCGGAGTCGAGCCATGTAATCTTGGAGTCGAGCCATGTAATCTTGGAAGCGTGACAATTGCAAATACTCCTCAACCTGAGCCGTGACAGGGTTGCAGCCGAAGGAGCTCCAAACATCACTCTCAGCCATTTATCTAACTTTGCAGCTGTAGAATCAACTGGCAAAGCTATCGAGTTGCTTGTCAGTACTCAATGAGAACTGAGTGAGATTGCTATAAGTGTCAATGTGGAAGATTAAAAAAAAACTTTGATTGAGAAACTGATTTGATTAATTTGTTAAATGAAATTCAAAAAGTTAATAAAAATTCATGTTTTTTAATTTCATTTGAATTCTTTCACATTGGTAAAATTTTGATTTGAATAGTCTTCATTGCTAAAATTTAAAATTTGGCCTTAAATATTTAATGGTGCAAAAGTTGGCCACTTCAAAATTTTTTGGCTAAATGATCTTAGAACTCTTGAAGTTTCCAAGAGGTTGTTTGACAATCTGCTATCAACGGAACCAGAGGTTGTTTGGTTTATGTTGTTGTTTGGATTTGTGGCCGAAAACATTGAATTTGTCATTTCGTAATTTATGCAGTCAATTTTTTTATTTAATCTTGTATTTCCTTTTTGTTAATTTAAAAAATTATTTTTTAGAAAGATTTATTAATAATTTACCCAGTAATCTTGTATTATTCAGTAAAAAATCTTGAATTTATTTTTTATTTATTAAAAAATCTTTTATTGAATAAGATTTATTTATAATTTACCCAGTAATATCGCTAAGGAAGAGTTTCGATATTTTACATTTTCTTTGAGAAATCCCACAATATCATAACAGTACTTCCTAAATCTCAGCAAGAACCACACTTTTTCTTCTAACGTCTCTTTTTTTCTCTTTTTTCTTTTAACTTCTGATTTAATCTTCAGTATTGAGGAATGCTTTTGTCTTCTTATTCTCTGGTTGCAGAACCACGTCAAACACAAGCTTCAGTTCCTTGGACAACAACTTACACATAGTAGTGTTCCCAGCCATATACAATCTCTTCATTCTGCTGAAAGGCGAGTACAAAATGTCAAATAGACATTCGAAGAACCCATCGAACCAGTAAGACTCTTAATCTCCTCCATTCGTGTTAATTTTATGTGAAATATTTATTAAAGCTAATGTTAATCGTTTGTAGAAATTCAAAGTCACCCGATCTTGACCTCTATGTGAAAGGCGTCCATTTTCATCTTCACAAAGTAAGCTTTTGAATCCGATTTCGCTGAGATTTGTCTCTTTTTGGGGTATCTTCTGATTTTGAGGGTTTTGTTTTTTGGTGTTGGTGTTTGTTTAGGAGACTTTAGCTAAGAGATCGGCGAAAGTGACAACATTACTCGAGTGTAACAAGCTCCATGAACTGCGTTGGATCCTCAGAGACATGGACATCAACCCAAGTATCTTCCACCTCGTGACTAGATTCTGCTATGGCTACAAAATCGAATTATCAGCTGACAACATCGTCTCTGTGCTATGCATTGCTTATTACCTAGATATGAGTGATGATCATAGCTCTAACAACTTGTTGAACAAGGCAATAACGTTCTTGGAACAACGAGTTCTTATGAGCTGGAGTGAGACCGTGAAAGCTCTTCGTATCTGCAGCGAAAAGATTCTGGACAAACTAGCTGATGTTGGACTCATTGAAGTTTTCTTAGATTCTCTTGTCGAAAAGGCTCTCAACGATACTAGGTTGCTTCAAGATTTGATTACATTACCACTTCGGTTATATGAACCCTTGATTCTAGAAGTGAGTAAGCACAATGTCTCGATAGAAAACCTTGTGGCATCTGTCTGCAATTACGCGAAAAGATGGGTTTTCGAGAAAGATTCGGGAGACGGAAGCGTTTCAAGTAACAAGAGAGAAGTAATTGAAGCTGTTGAGAGGCTTTTGCCTCACGAAAGAGGAACAATCTCGTGTGGATTTCTGTTCAAATCGCTGAAAGAATCGATTTTTCTTGATGCTTGCTCTGATTGCCGAAAAGGGTTTGAAGCTAGGATAAGTAACCAGCTCGACATGGCTACAGCAAAAGATCTCCTGATTCTGTCACCAACAGAAGATGGATCTTATGACATCGAGCTCTTGAAAAACATTCTCAAGAGCTTCTATAGTAACTATAGTGTCTCGGATCTTTCGCGGTTTGTAAGTGTAGCGAGAATGTTGGAAGATTTTCTGCTGGAGGCTGCTGCGAGTGATGCTGGTTTAAGGGTAGGAACATTCAAGGAATTAGCAGAAATTGCAGTTGCAGCGTCTTGTGATGTGCTGAGTTACTCTGATGGAATATACAGAGCGATTGATGTTTTCTTGGAGAGGCATAGAGATTTGATTGAATCAGAGAAGATGGAAGCTTGTAGATTTCTTGAATGTAAGAAACTTTCGCCCGAGGCTTGTGAACATGCTTCAAAGAACGAGAAGCTTCCATTGCGGATTGTTATGCAAGTTTTGTTTGTTTCTCAGATACAGATTCGCGATAAGGTGGCTAGAGAAATGAAAGGTGTAGTAGAGGAGAAAACACAGGATCAGGTACATGAAGATGATGAAGTGGAGAGTATGAGTAAGAAGTTGTTAAAGCTCGAGATAGAACCTGATTATAGCAAGAAAAGAAAGATTGAGAATCTTGAATGTGTTGTTCATTGCGAGAAGAAGAAGACAAGCGTGTGGAGAGAAATGAAGAGGAAGTTTGGTTGTATGACTTCTTCTACCATGGATGCTTGCAATTGTCATATCAAGAAGAGGAAGAAGACTTATTATCGCTACAAATGACAGATCATCACTATTTTGTTTTGTTAGAATTTGCTTTTGTTCCATTTAAATCCTCTGTTCTGTTCTGTTTTCCTCTGTTGTTTTGTTAAAATACTCTGTTTCTGAATTTTTTGTTCGGTTTAGTTCGATTTAATGTCTGGTCTTATACTGGTTTAGAAACATAAAACAAAAGTTTGGAAAACAAACAAGTATCAAAGTACAAACGCTCTTCACATCAAATCCGAGAAATACAAATCTCAGAAAGATCAAATCTGTTTTCTTTTTAAACTCAAGTTCAATTATCACAAATCAGACAAGAGAAAAACTTCTGAACGAAAGATTTAGGAGTCGAGTGACGAGTAGATCCTCTAGAAAGATCAACGATCTCTTGCTCGTCACCGCCTCCTTCTTTAGCTTTCTTGGACTCACCGTGGAATCTAGTGAAAGCTTCTTCTACGTACCTAGCCGCATCCAAAACCTTCATGTTATCCGCGAGCTTAAACGGGTAAATGTCTTTGATATGATCTCCCTTTAGTACAGCCGCTGCTTGAATCAATTCGATTTGAAAATCAGTGAGATCTTCGCCTTCTTCTTGTGTTTCAATGTCTATGTCTCTTGCCCTTGGAAGTTCCGGTAATGTAACTATGTAATAATCAAAAAATCATCAATTGCGTTTAATATGAACTATATAACCAACTAGATAACCGATAGTTACCAGGGCAGTCTGTCCTTGGGCTGGTCCGGTTGATGACAGCATCGAGTGTTCCAGCCCATTCGTCACGCTTTGTAAGAAAGCTCTTGAGGTTGAATATTTTTTTCAGTGTTGCCGGAATTGATGAATGCTCGAACTGCGACGTTGGCTCTGGTCCGTTTGGCTCGTGTAACACTACAAAATCACGTCACGAACAGTAAATTATATTATAAGATCATCGAGCAATTGATACGAATCATCTACATACATGACACTACCACACTAAACTAACACAACTCATTCCAATCAAAAAACATACGTACCCGTTCCAGGTTCGATCCAAGGCGAGATTAGCAATGCAGGAACCCTGACACCAAGCCGGTCAAACTTAAAGTTATAGGGCTCGGGTCCAACAAGACCATCAGGATTTGGGACACCAGTGACTGGAGTAGGGACATGGTCATAGTAACCACCATGTTCATCATAAACAACAACGAAGAGAATCTCGTTCCACTGAGGACTTGCTCTTAAGGCTTCGTAGATCTCTTTGACTAGATTTTGGCCTTCAGCTACGTCGTTTTTGGGATGGTCATCATTTGCTGGAGCCGACAAAATCTTGAAGTATCTTGGTTCTATAACCACATAGTTTGGAAGCTTCCCTTCTTTGCAATGCCTCTTGAAGCTTAATTGGTATTGATGGAAGTTGTCCACGTACTTCAATTTCCTCATGTTCCTAATTTAAATTTAAATACGAGTCTTAGCGATTAAATTGTTACATTTACATGACTTTAAAGTGGCTTAACTAATCATTTTTTATGACGCATTAAATGGACGTAAATTGTTCCGTACACAGTTGGACACATGCGAAACCTAATTATGATATTTTTTTTTTTCAAAAATCGAATCTCTGAAAGTGATCCGATTAAGTAATCCCGTTGTTAACCAAAAAAATGAAAATTTTTGTTTTTCTCTTTTTTTTTTTCTTTCTTATTCTTCTAGTTCAATAATATGGGAAACAACTCCACTTTTTAATTTTTTATAAACAACAAATCGATAAATTCCAACCATGTGGCGTTTTCTTAGTATTCAACAAAAAATAAAATTAAAAAATCAATCATGGAGAATTTTTTATGTTACAATTAACTAGATATTGCAATCCAGATGTCATTACGATTCTTTTTTTTTATAAAGGTGTCATTACATTACATACAATTCATCGGTTCATCATTAAGTAATCCATGTATGTTTGTTCTTATAATATATACTCTTATTCGATTTTTTCCTACATTAAAATCATATATAATTTGTAAATTTGAATTTTACTTTTATAATTTTCTTATCTAATTTTCAAAAGAAATAGAAGTACTACTTACCTGTAAAAGAGGCAATTAGGAAAAGATTGGTAATAAATCCCAAACGTGAAACCACTCTCTTCAAGTGATTCGAACACTGTCCTCTGAGGAAACCCACGGACAAGTGTGTTAGTGTCATTACTAAACGCACCGTTTGATGTTGCCGCGTGGACGTATAGTCGGTTAGGCTGCGTCGACGACGGCAACGACGAGAACCACCGATCGCAGACGGCGAATTCTTGAACTAGTTCCTTGAATACCGGAAGTTTCTCCGGCGGAAACCCTTGCATCACTACTTTCTCCGACATCCCTTTTGTTATCGCCTCTGCGTTTTGTACGAACCCGTTCATTTTCGGATCCGGGTACGGACTCTCGTCGCTGAATGGTTTTCCAAACACTTGTTCGTAGATCGCCTGAAATTCAAAGTTCGTAGATAAACCATTTCATCAATTTCCCGGTTTAGAATTCCCCGAACCGGTATCGAACCGAAATGTCCAAAAGAACCATACGAAATTATTTAGCCAAACCAGTGGTTAAGAAGAAATTTACGTTCACCAGACCGGTTAAGAAGTGTATACATAATTCTATATTCGGTACGGTTATTGAACCGGATAAACCGGAGGTGTACCTGAAAAGAGTGACCGGGATCAGGATCAATGTTCTGAGATTCTTTGCCGAAGAAGACATGAGCAGAGTTCGGGTCGGATGTAGAAATTGGGTTGGATCTTGGTTCGGATTCGGATACTCCATCGATTTCTGGGTTTAGCTCTTTAAACCAACCTAACATGTGGTCGAACGACCTGTTCTCCTGAACCAAAACGACGACGGTTTTGATCGGAGAAGACGATGAGCCACCACCAGAGCTCGTTTCCTCCACCATACTTCTTTTTATTTTTTTATGAACAGAAAATCTGACTTCTTTCTTTTGTTGCTTTCTCTCTGTCTATCTCTTAATTAGCTGTGTCCCGTGTAAATGGAAGCCTTATTATACTCACTTAAATGTTTCTTTGAAAACCTCTTCCTTTGTATGCTTTATTACAAAAAATTAGTTATTTACTTTTGAGGTTACTCGGTGATTTTTGCATATAAATTAAAAATATAGACGGTGAATTTTGGATATCATCTCAATTGTGTTCTCTCACGTTCGGTGAGGTGGCCGAAGAATTACTCGTCTTTTATTTAGTGCATAGGAAAAACGTTTTCAAAATGACAGTTTATATAGATACATGTGTTTCGAATAACTCTTTCTACCATTATTATTTATCAAAAGAAAATTAATAAGGTTATTGGCGATATACATTGAATATTATTACTTATTAGTCTCTATCTATGAAAATAACAATGTAGTAGATGGAATTAGGTGTTGACCAATTATTATTGCTAAAACTATAGTCTATAGCACGTCTCCGTATGTGTCTTTTTATTAATACGAAAAATTAATTTACATTCGTTGATTACTGTGTACTAGTAATATTTCAGTTAGATGGAATATTAGTTAAATGGAATAATGAATAATATGTGTTATGAGTTATTTACTAAAGAATGTTGCATATACATACGGTGTAAGTTAATAAATCAAAAGTTATATAGTACAGTATTTCTTTTAATCATTACAATTAAAATTTGGGACCCAGTAGCTAGAATGGTTGCCTTTAGGCTTTAGTGACACGAGACAAGAAAGCTTTTTCGTCTTAAATAAATTCCACACACACACATTACTTCAAGTTATTCGAATGTGATTGTGTTGGTATCACATGATCATCATCATCATCCACGCAATAAACGATGTCGTTCTCAACATGTTTTTTTTACCAAAATAGTTAATTTAAAGCGAAGCTAAAAAGTTATTTAGTTACGCATACTGTGATCTTGACTCAAGATTCTTGAAGAGTGCTATATCGTGATCTAGGGTACGGCTTATGAAGAACTAGACATTATTTTTCCAAAATAATTAGTATTAAAGCTCTATTAAAACTAAACAAAACCCCAGAGTTTAAACTACAATGCAACTAGAATCGTAATATCGTAGTGTTAATTTTTAATTGCTACATAGGAAGGTTGGGAATTATAACAATGAATGTCTTATATTGATATGAAGAAACATAGGAAGACTAGTAATATTAGATACAGGAGTCCCTAAAAACAATTCATACCCTTTCACGTAACCGGCGACGTAAATCTTTCCATTCAGCATCCACCCTTTGCTTGACTTTTATTAAGGCGTGCATTTCTGTAGTACGAAGAAAATAAGCAAAATCACAAATGAAATTTGTTTTCTTCTTCTCAAAATTATACGGACAATCTCAACATTACCCCAGACAAAGTTAATCGCATATCCAGTCGTCATCCATATGCGAAAAACACGAATATTCTTCGCATTTAAGCAAAAACTCTTCAAGCCCGTGGCCACGGCTTTCTCTTCTCCTGAAATAACACATCCAAAACACGTCACGAAGATCCCTTGCGAATAAATTCAGATGCGGAATCAGAGAACGTTACCGTTGCTACCAGGCAGTGAACAGAATCCTCGAGCTTGAGGACGCCCAAAAGATCTACCACCGACGCCGGTGCAACACTGCGAAACGACGGATCCAAGATTCGGCGGCATGATCGGGAATTAGGTTTTCGACAGGTTCTCTGATTTCTTCAAAAGAGGGTAATAAAGGAAAACAAAAACAAGGATTTGGTCTTAATAAATTATATGGTCGAATGTGCCCTAGCTAGTTCTTTTTTAGTAGTTTTTTTCCTAATAAATTCCATTTAGTAGTTTTTTTTTTTTGTTCTATCTCCCAATGAATTTGTGATGAGGTTAATAAATCATTTGAAGAATTGCCAAGGGTGAATTTTCCTCTCGTTCAGTCTTGAAACATTTACTTGTCCCCATTTCTGTTTGTTCTATAAGTTTTTTTGTTATTATTGAAAAAGGTTTTACATATATAAAGTTCCAAGCATTTAGAGCAAAAGCAATTCCTTCATTTACGTGTGCCTTACTCCACAATGACCAAATAAATACAAAGCTTCAAAAGAATTAGAATTTTCCGTCAGACACTAAACCAGCTCGTGAATCTATCAGCTCAAAGTATTCCTGAGTATCCCTCACATCCTAAAAACACAAAGACGATGATCAGGATATAATGATACTCAATAATGTCATTCAAAGTGCTTTTTGATTCCGTTTTTACCTTTAGCAGCTTCTCCTCAAATACCTGTGCACTATCGCCACGGCCCGGTAAAATAATACCTTAATACAACAACAACAACAAAAATAAATAATTTGGCTCGTCGAGGAAACAAAATCATTCTCTGTCTTTCTCCATACCTAAGCTATATCCCGTAGTCAGAGCTATACCTCGCAATATGACACCCCGCGCGCCGACAGCCTCTCCTGCTCCGTATACAGAACACGTCACGACGATCCGGTAATAGAAAGCTTGCGAAAAATTCAGATGCGTAATCAGAAACCGTTACCGTTGCTACCAATCGATGAACAGAAACCTCTAGCTTGACGATACCCGATTGATCTACCACAGACTAGGCGGCGACACTGCGAAACGATGGATCCAAGATTCACCGGCATGATCGGGAAATTAGGTTTTCGACAGGTCTCTCTGATTTCTTCAAAAAGGGGTAAAGGAAAACATTATATGATCGAGTGGGCCCTATCTAGAGTTTATGGTCTTTTATCTGCCTATAATATTGGGCTTTAGCCCAATTTGTTCTGGGTTTATTTCGGTTCACTTCAATTTGAAAGAATGGTAGTCTTTAATGACTTTAGTCCGTAGTCTTTGATGTATAATCCACCAATCGAATAATTAAAGTAGATCTCATCTAAGATATAAACTTTATAGATACAAGAAGATGAAATATGCAAATAATTGTGTAGTTTTTGTACAAAGAAAAAATATTACACAAGAGACAGTATAGCTTTTTTCCTTGAATAAATACTTTATAAATTTTATACTTTTTCATGGCGAACAAAGCAAGAGAATAACTTATTGAAAAGAGACGTTTGCGCTTTTGATCCAGGAGGAGCATTTGATGCTTCTGAATGTGATTGTGGTGGTATCACAACATGCTCATCATCATCATCGACGCAATAAACGATGTCGTTCTCATCACATCCTCTTTCTCTTGCCTTTCTAGACTCTTCTAGAAACTTCTCAAACGCATTTGTAACGTATTTAGAAGCATCTGCAACGCAAGTTTCTTTACATAGCTTGTGGATTAATTCTTCGTTTTTGTAGTCTCCTTTTAATCCCGCAGCCATTATTACAAGCTCTTCTTGAAATTCGCTTAGTTCTGCATTTTCTTTTGCCACTGTCCCTCTTAGTTTAACCGGAGTTGATAATGTTTCTATTTGAAGAAAAAACTGAAGTTTTAGTCGATATAATCCTAAATTGATAGAATTTAGTGGAAGACGAAAAAAACGTAATTACCAGGGCAATCTTGTCTTGGTGAATCTCTTGTAATAACGGATTCAAAAGTGCCAGCCCATGAATCTCTCTTTGTCAAGAAATCTTTGAGTTTGAAAATTTTCTTGACCGTTGCGGGAATTGACGAATGCTCATATTGTGACCTTGGGAACGGCCCATTTGGCCCATGAAGAACTACACATTTTACCAAAATTGTCATTCACTTTGATTTAACATTAATATAAGACCAGTAAAGATGTAAAAAGAAGAGAGTAGAAGACCACTATATTAAATTAATGTCTATGACTAGTAATTATTTTTGACCTGTCCCAGGCTCAATCCAAGGAGAGATGAAGAAAGTCGGAACCCTAACTCCGAGCCTGTTAAACTCAAAATTATACGGTGGAGGTCCCAAAATACCATCTGGATTAGGAACTCCGTCGACCGGAGTAGGTACATGGTCGTAAAATCCACCATGCTCGTCATACGTTATAATGAATAAAATCTCGTTCCATTGAGGACTCGATCTCAATGCCTCGTAGACCTCTTTCACGAGCTTTTGACCTTCGGAAACGTCGTGAGAGGGGTGATCGTCATTGGCCGGAATTGACAATAGATCAAACCAACGTTGTTCGATCACGACGTAGTTCGGTAGCTTTCCTTCTTTGCAATCTTTCTTGAATTGTATACCGTATTGGTGGAAATGTGTCAAATATTTCAGCTTTCTCAAATTCCTACAAAAGTAAAGTATTAATAGAATTATATATATATAATTTGTATCCTTATCCTTTTTTATTATAAGATTTATTTTTCAGTGCTTACTTTGTTTATGAGACTATCTTAATGTTTTAATTACAAGACAACTTGTTTATAAACTGAAACGAGCCTTTACAGTCAGATTTAAATGATTTTGTTTATTAGATATCCAAAATCAAAGAATAACCTTGATTAAACACCCATAATTAAATCATAGAATACAGGTTTTAGACGGAAATAGCCAAAAAGAGACAAATTTATACAATTCTTATAAATATCTGAATAAAAGATTTCAATAGGAAAAGCAAATAAAACCTATATATAGTTATAAAAATACCTATAAAAGAGAGTAGAAGGAGGGAATTGGTGGTAAATGCCAAAGCTAAAACCAGCTTCATCGAGAGACTCGAATATCGTCTTCTGTGGAAACCCTTCGATTAGCAATTTCTTGTCGTTGCTCGTTGCTCCATGTGATGTTGCCGAGTGTACGTACAATCGATTTGGCTGCGTCGATGCTGGAACCGACGCGAACCACCTGCCCAACGCAAAAAAGGAACCAGGTTTACTTTAAACCGGGTCAACTAAAGTTAAATTAAGTTAAGATCAGATGAACCAAACCGGCTTACCTATCACATATGGCGAAATTTTGAACCAATTCCTTGTAAACCGGCAAAGCATCCGGTTTAAATCCGTTCATAACTGCAGAGGACATCCCTTTCTTGTTTCTCTCAGCGTTTTGAGCAAAACCGGACATGGTAGCTGGACCCGGGTTTGGATCCGGTTTACCTGCATCCCATGGCTTACCAAACACTTGTTCGTAGATATCCTGAATGGAATGACCTGGATCCGGGTCAACGTACTGAGACTGGTCGCCGAAGACTACAGGAAGAGAGTTTGGGTCGGAGGACGAAACCGTGTTGGATTTGGGATCAGATTTCGTGACGCCATCTATTTCCCGGTTTAGTTCTTTAAACCAGCCTAGGGTATGGTCGAAAGAACGATTTTCTTGAACCAAAACGACGATGGTTTTGATCGGATACGATCCTGAGCCTTTCGTCGTCTCGCTCATTCTGTTTCTTTTCTTTTTCGAGTGTTAGACGTTGTGAGTAGAAAGTATTCGTGGGGTTATAAATATATATATATGTAGTGATCATTGAAGATTTGAAGAAAGAGTTTTTAGACGAAGACGTAAACAATAAATCATAAGTATGCACGTCGTCATGGGTTATTTATCCACTGAATTGGTTTATTTTTTTTGGGCAAATCCACTGAATTGGTATAACGTCAACTATCCAAATAAAGTTGGAGGGAAATAAAAAATCTTTACCAAATTTGTTAGGATAGTAATTGATGCAACTAACCAGCACCCATTAGCTGAAAATTTATAATTTGTGGAAGATTGATATTCTTACGACAACATTTTTTTTTAAATAATTGTGTTGAAATTGGTTTGTGTCAATAAATTCACTATTTTCTCACTTTTTTTAGTCCATGCTATGTAGTTCTTTCTAATTAGTTTGTATTTTGATTTTTATAAATAAAATTTATATAGAATTTTGTCGTAGTGTTAGCTATATAAATGGTTGTTTTTAAGTGTCAATTTTCTCGCAGCTAAATAATTTGCAATGAGACTTTAGTTACTTGTAACTTTTAAACAGACAGGAAACATGAGAAGAAAATTTTCAAGAAAAACAAGAACACACGTTACGGCAAAGAATATAAACGAGAATATGCGTATAATTCTATATCAACCAAAGAATATGCGAATAAATGGAAAATTAAATAAAGACAACAATTATCGTTTTGATTTAATATTTCTATTAACAGTACATATTCCTTCCAAGTGATACAGATACCTTTTCATAAAATAAAATATTATTCGTGGTCGTGTGAAAAAAAGGGAAAAAAAAACAAGAAGTCTTATGATCTTCGATTCAAGGCGTGGGATATTTGATTAATTTTTAGTGTACAATTTGTATTTCTGTTTGTGATTGTGACAGTCCACCATCCTAATTTTATTGTACCACGATAAATCTTTTTAAATTTCCTAAAACGTACTTGGCCTAAAATTACAGTGTCCATTTATTACCGATCATTGTAGTAACTTGTACTCAATCAATTTTGTGACGTGCCATACAAGAATAGAAATACAAAGGCATTCCTCTAGATCGTTTATGTTGGCAAGTCCAGTCATATTTTTATACGACTTACGTCAGCAGTTTTGTTTCTTTTGTTCTTTTTACGTCAGCAGTTAGGTTCAATAGAATAAAAATTGGATTCAATATGAGGCCGTTGGATAAACCTTACTACTACTACTTACTCTACACACGCAAAAAAAAAGAAAACTACAAATTTTGTCTAATTAAATTTTTTTATATATACGCTTTAATGATGACAATCAGGTTTTTGGCTTAGGAGTAATATGTAATGCCTTCGTTTGTGATGTTGGTGGTTTCACAACATCATCATCATCATCAACATCGATGCAATAAACGATGTCGTTCTCATCACATCCCTTTTCTCTTGCCTTTCGAGACTCTTCTATAAACTTATCAAACGCGTTCGTAACGTATTTGGAAGCGTCTGCAACGCAAGTTTCTTTGCATAGCTTGTGCATCAGTTCTTCGTTTTTGTAGTCTCCTTTTAATCCCGCAGCAACTATTACGAGCTCTTCTTGAAAGTCGCTCAATTCTGCATTTTCTTTTGCCACCGTCCCTCTCATTTTGACCGGATTTGACAATGTTTCTATTTAAATAATGATGCAGTTTTTATTAAAAAAATCAAATTTTGATAGAATTTATTAGATGATGAAAAATATTACCAGGGCAATCTTGTCTTGGCAAGTCTCTCGTGATAACAGATTCAAAAGTGCCAGCCCATGAATCTCTCTTTGTTAAGAAATCTTTGAATTTGAAAATTTTCTTGACCGTTGCGGGAATTGATGAATGCTCATATTGTGACATTGGGTACGGCCCATTTGGCCCATGAATAACTACACATTTTCCCAATATAGTCAATGTCATTTCATTGAAACATTAGTATCTTGATTAAAATATAAGACCACTAAAGATGTAAAAAAAATGAGAGTAGAAGACCACTAAATTAAACTAATGTCTATGACTAGTAATTATTTTTTACCTGTCCCAGGCTCAATCCACGGAGAGATGAAGAAGGCCGGAACCCTAACGCCAAGCCGATTAAACTCAAAATTATACGGTGGAGGTCCCAAGATACCATCCGGATTAGGAACTCCCGCTACCGGAGTAGGGACATGGTCGTAAAATCCACCGTGTTCGTCATATGTTATAATGAATAAAATCTCGTTCCATTGAGGACTCGATCTCAAGGCCTCGTAAACCTCTTTCACGAGCTTTTGGCCTTCAGAGACGTCATGTGATGGATGATCATCGTTAGCGGGATTCAACAACAGATCATACCAGCGTTGTTCAACCACAACGTAGTTCGGTAGCTTCCCTTCTTTACAATCTTTCTTGAATTGTAGTCCGTAGTCGTGGAAACGTGTCAAATACTTGAGTTTTCTCAAATTCCTGAAAAACAAAACACAAAAAATACTAATAATGATAAATATAGCAAAAGCAAATTAAACGTAAAATAATACTAAAAGAGAAAAAATACCTATAAAAGAGAGTAGTAGGAAAACATTGGTAATAAATCCCAAAGGTAAAACCAGCTTCATCGAGTGACTCGAATATCGTCTTTTGTGGAAAACCTTCGATTAGTAATTTCCTCTCGTTATTCGTTGTTCCATGTGATGTTGCCGAGTGGACAAACAATCGGTTTGGCTGTGTTGCACCCGGAACCGACGCAAACCACCTGTCCAATACATGAAATTTTCTATAAACCGGGATTTTGTCAGACAAAACAAATTTCCAATCGGTTTTAGTTGGATGAACCCGAACCTTCATACAGATTACATAAGTCGAAAATTTAAACCGAATTAATTAGGTGAACCGGCTTACCTATCACATATGGCGAAATTTTGAACCAATTCCTTGTAAACCGGCAAAGCATCCGGTTTAAATCCGTTCATAACCGCAGCTGACATCCCTTTCATCTTCCGTTCGGCGTTTTGGGCAAATCCGGACATTTTAGCTGGACCCGGGTTTGGATCCGGGTGAACCGAATCCCATGGCTTACCAAACACTTGTTCGTAAATATCCCGAATGGAGTGACCTGGATTCGGGTCAACGTACTGAGACTGGTCACCGAAGACGATATTGTGAGAATTTTGGTCGGAAGACAAAACCGGGTTGAATTTCAGGTCCGATTTGACGACTCCATCAATTTCCCGGTTTAGCTCTTTGAACCAGCCAAGTGTGTGGTCGAAAGAACGATTCTCTTGGACTAAAACGACGATGGTTTTGATCGGATACGATGATACTGAGCCTTTTTTCGTCTTGTCCATGATCTGTTTGTGGGGTTTACGAATACACATAAATTGATAGATATGTAATATGTTTATAGTGCTTGAAAAAATGAAGAATTAGAGTTTTACAAGTTAAAACCAAATCAGAAATAGGCATCATGCATGCTTATCGCATGTCCTTTGAAGTTTGAATTGGTATCACGTCAAGTAAGTACCCCATATAAAGCTTATTAGTTATTGTTTTTCTTAATATTTGTTTACTTGTTTTTGTTCTGTAGTTCACATTATGAGTCTATACAAAATTGGATCTCATTAATAATTGGAGAACATCTCATGGTCATCAAATCCGTAAAAAATAGCAAAATATTTTATTGATTTAAATAAACATTAAGACATTACATCATGACATAGCTGATCACATCTTATTCTCTAAACATAAATACTCCCTCTGTCCCAATATATAAGATGTTTTAGGCTTTTTCATTTGTTCCATTATATAAGATTTTCTCTACTTTCAATGCATGATTTATATTAATTTAATAGTTTTTAATTATTTTAATTATGCAGTATCTTCTTCTATTGGTTGAATTTTCATAAATGAGAGAACATTTACTGTTTCTTAATATCTGTGCTTTTAGTCCAAACATCTAATAAAATGGGACAGAGGGAGTAGTAATAACATATTACTATTTAGTACTTATTTTTGGATAACTCGACGTTCATTTCACTAAAGAGACATGCTAGTTTGATCGTGATACGTAGGTAGAGTTTTCCGGGAAATAAAGTGGGCCAACAATTATCAGAAAGACCATTAAGCGTTTTGCAACAAGTGTGCCTTATGCCACCAAAATGGCCTTTGAATATGCCACCAATGGTTTCAAAACAACCTTCCACACTCTTGATCGAATTGATACATTCTTTGAGATGTAACCCTTGTGGATCTTCTTCTTTCATCGTCATCGCCTTGTTTTCTTTGTTGTTTGAATGAGATATCTGATTAGCCGATGAACACATGATCATCAAGCCAAAGAAGATAATAGCTACAAGAATTGAGTTTTTAATTTGAGCCATCTTATAGGAAAAAAAAAAAATGTTTTTGAGTGTTTACAATGACTTTTCTGGACTTGTGTGCTACATTGATCTCAAGAAGGTTAATTTATAGCAGTCGTCTAGTAGAGAGTGAGGTATAAGTATAACGAACCCTTGATTTTAGGAGTATTAATATCGGCGAAAATTATGAAGTTATATTTATTTTGAACTTTTTCTGCCTACATACAAGATCGGTTACATCTCATGATCTCATTAATCAAAAACTTGTTTTATGGCGCATAGATTAATCTCATACTTTGCTTATTTCATTCTCTCCTCTCGCATCATGAAATTATGGATCTCGTGAATAATTAGAGTGCATCTCATGGTCATCAAATCCCTTGAGCAAAACAGCATTGCATAATTTAAGCTTAATAATTATTATGGAGAAATTATGTCGTAAACTGCATGATGTCATTGTGGTGATATAGCTAAACTTACCAAAACTGGTATTTTCTAGGAAGTGGTAAGTGGTAACACTAAAAAGGAAAAAAAAAAAAAAGTAAAAAAAAAACGTAAGAATATATGGGCGGTAAATTCAAAACTCTATGATTACTCTGTTTCTCAAATGGTTTGACAATGATTCTGATTGGTATAATAAAGATTACCAAAACTAAATAAATACATAAACTTTTTAAAAGGCCAATCAGCACTTTTTGACACTTTGAAAAATAAATTCAAATTCCCTAAATATTACCTTTTTTTTTAATAACTTATTTCGGTAAACGGTAATTTTTTGCCCTCTCGTAACTAGATCTCTTCATCGCCGCCATTGAACTCCGAACCAGAAAATTCGAAATCCCGTTTGTTTGACTCGCCGCCGATCCTGAAGGCGGCGGCGTCTTCTCTCCTTCCCCTTCTTCTACCCAGCGAGAAGTTCCTACACCTGCTGATTCTTCTTCGTCTTCAATCTCCCTTAGTATATCAGCGATCGATACCACAGCGGCGCCTGAGTTTAACGTCGCCGATCTCCGAGTCACCTCCTCTTCTCCGTCTCTTAACTCCTGCATCTCCGGTGGTTTCGGCGTCGATCCTCCATTAACCGACTCATTCATAGATCTGGAATTTTCCAGATCTAAGTTGATAACGACGGAATCATCTCCGGTCGAAATCGAGTTGTTCTCCGTAGCGATCGGTTGATTGGTTACATCGACGATCTCAACGGCGGAGGAAGTGACGTTAACTCCGGCGATGAAAGCACGGCAGAGAGGACAATTAGAGTGAGATTTCAACCAAGTATCAATACAAGGAACATGAAACGCGTGGTTGCATTTAGGTAACAATCTCAAGCTCTCGTTCTCTTGAAACTCACTTAAACAAACAGAACAATCTGATGATTCAACAAATCCATCCATCTTTCTGTATTTGTAAACAGTTATCGATTTAATCAGAGATTCATCGAGTCCATCACCAACACCAATCGTCGGATTCGGATTCGTAGCTTCTTGCCAGGTGTAATCTGATGAGATTCCGTGATCTCGGTTTATAGCTGCGGCGGAGGTGGAGGAGGAGGAGTTGTGGCGACGGCGGTGGCAGTATTTGGAGATGAGAGTGTAGTAGCTGACGAGGATGAAGGCACTAGCGAGGATTCCGATAAGAGCGATGAGGAGAGGAGAGAAATCAGAGGAGGAAGAGTCGTCTTCGTCGTCGAGGTAGAAGGAAGGAGGAGGAGGGAAGATGACGTAACACCATTGAGGGCAATAGACACTACATACTCCTTGAGAACAGTCTCTGTATGAATCGTATGTACCCCATGGATTAGGGTTTCCTGTTGAACCCATTATCTGATTGTTATTGGAGAGAGAGGAAGAAGAAGAAGATGAAGAAGATGGAGGTGAAGTGTCTCTCTCCTTTTTCTTTGGGGTCTGCTTTGTCTGGTAAGTGTCTATTTTTTTTAGTTAATTTGTATTATTGGAGGAGATAATTAATAAAAATATGTTTATGAAAGCTTTTATATGATGGTGTTAATACTAATTGAATAGTTGATGCTTATAGTGAATGTTCTTCTGTATCAAATCTTAATTATATTATGTAACTAAAGTTGTAGAATTTGCTTTATTCGTTTTTTATTCTGTAGCTTTCTCTTTATGCTTCCATTTTCTTTTTCTACTTTTAAGATAAATTAATATTATAAATGTTTAGTAAAATAAACGAAGTTCGTTTAATTTTTCTTGGGGTTTCGTTTGTTGTTTGTTTGATTTTATTATGAGTAATGAGAAAGTAACATAATAGTGTTTTAGTGTTGACAAAATAAAAAGGGAGAGGGGTTTAGTATATTTCAAGGCATAAAAAATGGTTGGTGAAGTGTTGACGAAGGTGGAATACTATAACATGGGCCACGTGGATGACAAAATTACTTCTTTTAACACGTATCTATAAAGTTGTGGTCAGAAATACAGTACAATTTACCGACTACGTACATATATCAAACATAGCAAGAAGAATATTTTCAATTCATTTCATTTCAACTATAAAATTCGCTCTATCGATTTTTCCATTTTTGTTTCCCATTGCTATGATTCAAATACATACAGTTTTATATTAGTTTTAAAATTTAATATATGAAAACTATAAGAAAAAAAATTCAATAGTTGTTCAAGGGAAGGGACGATTGATGTGAACTCGCCAACCATTTGCTTGCCCTACGTACAAAACAACATATTTAGATAGGATTTGAAAATAATAATAATGATCTTAAAAGTGTGATTAAAACAAACAATTATACAAATGATAACAATAGGCTACGAGATCGTATATATAACTGTAAAGTTGACATCCGGTCATTCTACGAACTACTACTAATCATAATCATTTGTTGAGCTGATTTAATGACACTCTCTTGTTGGTTTTAGATAACTGTAAAACCCAATTATATATGATGTAAATGATTGTTCCATTTACACATCTATTTGCACATGCCTAAAGTTGTTCCCCCCTTTGTTTTTGTTATGCCAACTGGCTATAAAGTTAGGTGTATTTTACTGTGACCCTTTGTAAACTTTTTAAAATTACCTCGTATTTGTTCATTTTGTACAATCGACATCATAAGAGAAAGTAAAGAGCAATGAATATTAAATATTATTAAGAAAAGAAAAAAAGAAAAGAAAGAAGATTCCGAGGCTTTTAGCTTCAGTACAGAGTGAATTTTACAGTCTATTACAATAAGATTTCTTTTTGTTGTTCAGAAAAACAAAGATCCTAAACGACAAAAAACAATTATACAAAAACTATGGCGATAACAATTATTACTCAATTATAAAAATATAAATCGCAGACCCTATTTTATTAAACTTAATTTTGAAGGACTCGAGGATGGATCTGTTCTGCAGTCACCACTAACTTTAAACTCGTCCTTTTCTGCGTTCGTCCAGTGCCTGCCTCATGATATAAGATTGTTATGAAACTATAGAACTAATTTATATTTTATAGGTTTAGTTTCAGTAATTCTCAAAACATACCTTGCTTTGAAGCATTCTCATCGTCAAGACTAGTGTATCACGCATGCTGGTAAAAACCGCGAAAAATCATGATTTTTAGGTGTGAGTTTGTAAGATAAAAAAGCCGTGAAATCGAAACATAATTACTGTATTTGCAGATAGAGATGCATATATGTACCGGACATTGAGTGTGCTTATAGGATGTGAAGATCCATCATAACTTATCAGAACAAACTGTGTTGAGAATCCACACGGTACTTTTATCTGCAATTTGTTTTGGTGAAACATGTAAACAAAAAAGTTTTTAGATTATGACCAGGAAAATGAGGGAAGCTTAAATACAATGTCAAGAATCTTTTTACCTGGAGTTCCTTTGAGTATTTCTCTGAGATCACGTCTGTGGTGTTCGTTTTAATCTGGTAACTAGATCTCTTCAAAATAACCGTTGCGGGTTCCCAACTCTCTGATGAATCCATCTTTCGAAATAAAAAAAAACAGCGAAATAACGGTTGTTAAATCCATAATTGGATTAAAGTCGAGATAGTGGATGATTATAGCTCTGACCTTAAAACTTACCAGAAGCTGCACATTAAAGCTTGCTTGACCTCTGGATATATAAGTGTCGATTTCTGTTTGCATCTCTGTATCTGCATAAGCAAAAAACATTCTCAGTAAAGAAGAGACTGTAAAAGACCTCTTCGCTATCTACAAAAGACGGGGTTTAGATTCCGTTGAATAATTACCACATCTAATCTTGTTTTGATCATTAGCAAACAATCTCACTAATTCTCCCTGCATAATCAAAAGAAGTTTTTTTTAAGACAACTGATTCGTAAACGCTATATGTACCCGAGAAATCCCGGTATTTTACCTGACGACCTTGATCATCCATTGGAATACACTCAACAGCAATCAGTTTATCTACATCATCCGCAGTTACAACATACTCTGGGTGGGTGGCTCCTGCATATGTTTAAACCATAGTCCAGTTTTTAAATAGCTGAAAAAAGCCAGTAAGGCAAATAAATCAAATCTTACCCTCGATGTATTGTCTTGTGCCATCTTCAAGATGCCGAACCCACTTTTCAAGAAGAAACAACAAATCGGGAAATTTCTTATTTTTTCATCTGCTTAAGTAGTCCAAATTTTGTTTTCAAAGACTCTTACTAACAAAAGATTGACAAAGATTCTACCTGAAACATACAGAGAGTGGTTCCTCGCACTGGAAAACCACAACCAAGAACTTTTTCTCCAGGTATTGCATCACCAATAATCTGAAATCCATCAATTCCTGGTCCCTCTGTTTAAGATTTTAGTGTCAGATTAAGATTTATAACGTATAGCCACTAGGCTATAAGAAAAGAAGAAAAAATTTCCAACCTTCATAAACATGAGAAGCAAACTCTTCATTCCCGTTATAAGCATCAAACATGGAAGAACTCTCAGCTTTTTCTTCTCTTTCTCGAATCATTTCCTTCCCCGCCACACTACTTAGAGGATATCCAAAATTTTCCCTACAAGTGAGCATAATGAAGCAGGCATTCAACACTGTGAAAGAACTTCATCGGTTAAAACTGAAATCAATGAAAAGTTTTAGAGGATTGAGAAATGATACCGTACCTTTTCGGCTGCTGGAAAATTCCTTGAGATCCACCGCCTATCTGATTATTAAATCTTAAACCTTCAGTGTCTTGCATAACGTGATGATACGGGTTTCTCGTAACATTTTCCATTGGTGGCAAAAGTTGTTCATTGGTCTGATAATCATTACCACGATCCTGCATCAAGGGTAGTATATGAACACAGAAAGTAAGATTTCTTCTGAAAAGATGTCACACATTTTATAAAAGATCTTTAAGAGCAAATGATAATTAATTTAGCAAATTACTTGCTGAGACTACCGTGGATCCATAAGAAGCTTGACTTTTCGAATTTCTGGGATCATGGTTGTCTTTACTAATAAAATCTGTTCCCGGTTGGTTTTCCACAATAGATGATAGTTCTCTAATCCTATCCTGTGATTTAAAAATTTCGTCACAACATATTCGAAAGGAATCCATGAAGAGTATTCACATTCCCGCGGAGGTCTAATTAGGCCAAAGGACATATGCAGACAACAATACTCTAAGCCTAAGGAAATGTGTGTAAATACACTAAAATTGAGAATTTATAGCGGTTGTTCGATTGGAAAACTACAGGATAGAGAGCTTACATTGCAAGCTTTAGTCTTCCATTGCAACTGATCATGCAAGTGCTGCATAAGAAGAAATATGAAATATATGTTGAGATTGTTTAGTGTATAAATTTGAAGAAAGATGTAGTGAAAGCAAATACCTTTATGCCGCTGGATATAGCGGTAGCATTTGCAACACGAGGCCAAACACCATACTCAGCTAATAAACCAAGTAAGGACGTCATGAATATATACCTCTCGTCTTCTGTAACCTAAACATAGAAAGTGAGATAAGTAAAGACGGAAGGGTAAAAGGCAATGAGGTTACTACATAATTTTGAGGCAGGACAATTACCTTTAAATCATGTGCCAACTTCGAATTTTCTTCAAGATCACCTTTTCTACGAGCCAACTCATTCAACGCAGACGTAACAGATTCATTTTGTTTCTCATCAATTGCCTAAGGAAATACGAAACTGTTAGACAAACAAACCCAGAAGCCAAAGATGAAGACTTTCAATTCCATGAATCAATCTTGATAGAAAAGCAAAAGACAAACCACTCGAAGATCAGCACATTTTCTCTCTAATCCATACTTCTCATTGAGCAGCTGCATGTCCTGTAACCAAAAGATGCAATTTCACTTTCTTGATTCTTCAAATTCATTTGAAATGATTCATATGAATGAGCATGATGTTCTTATAATAGTATATACCTTCAAACAAGCAGCAGCAATTCGTTCCTGGAGACTATGAATCTCCTCTTCTTGTGATCTCACTTTTGCATAAAGTGCCTGAATTTTTAAAAGCTAATTTGAAGTTTGATTCAAGAAGTAGAAATTATAAGATTATGGGGTCAGTATCAGTACCATTTCCTCAGGATCTTGAATTAACTTAGCATTAGTATCTTCTAGCTTCCTCGAAGCAATAGTATCGTTCTCAATCACATGCCTATAGAGAGACAGATCGAAGAACAACAAGCCACTAAATATGTATATAAACAAAAACACTGCTTCAAAATCAAAACTTTGCGTGTGGGTTTAAGAAAAAACAGTAATATTACCTTTTGCTTGATTCAGAACTCCGATTGTCATCCATCGTGTTTAATCAAGCTCGACTTTAAGGTCATCGGATTTGCAAAGTCTCTGGTTTTTGTTTTTTTTTTGTTTCATCTATTGAGAAACTTTAATCAACAGCCAATTTTCATCTCCACGAAACGAAGTGAATATCGATTGGCAAAAAAAAAAAGAAACGAAGTGAATATTTCTAAAAAGCCCCTAAAATAACTATTGTTTTCACGATTGCCCCTGAACTACGAAATTCACAAAATAGTCCTTCCATCTAACTAACGAAGTGTAATTAACAATAATATAAACCTCGAAAGTTAACAAATAAAATTGGATTGTTGACTTTGATGCAAAGGGGACTTTATATTCGAAGTTTGCCAAACCTTAAATTTGAAGTTTTGGATTGTATTTCTCCAAAAGAAAACTTCAAATTTAACTTCAAAAAGTTTTTGTATTTTACATAATAGTCTTTACTATTGATTATAGTTAAATAAAGTTTTTGTATTTTCCCTCGACTTCTATTTACGCGAATTTGGATCATCTTTTCTGGAGAATTCCATCAGAGATTGATTCATCTTCATTTCCATGGATAATTTGGTATATTTGGAAAGCGAGAAACGAGAAGATTTTTGATAATGTGGATAAAGACCCATTAGAGGTTCTACATTTAGCGGAGAAAGAGGCACAAGCTTGGCAGGTTGCTCAATCTGAGCTACATATTGAAATCCAAGGTTAGATACTGTAACTCAAAATCGCGTGAGAGAGATTTCATTGGATTCCAGTTACTTCGGACATCGGTGTTTCGTGGATGGATCATGGAAAAAGACTGATATTTTTTCCGGAACAGGGTGGTACTGTACATCGGCAAATGGAGAGATGCCAACCATGGGAGCTGCAAACATCCGGCGAAGTCTATCCCCCCTACATACAGAAGTCGAAGCTCTACTCTGGGCGATGAAGTGTATGATTGGTGCTGACAACCAAGATGTAGCTTTCTTTACAGACTGTTCAGATTTGGTGAAGATGGTGTCTTCCCCAACCGAATGGCCGGCCTTCTCAGTGTATTTGGAAGACTTGAAGAGTGACAAGGAAGAATTCTCTAATTTTTCTTTATCTTTAATTCCGCGTAGCGCAAATGTAAAAGCGGATAATTTGGCACGAAAAATTCGTACCGAACCGCATCATATCACTTATGTAAACAACATTCCCCAGGAATGACTCTTTTGAGCATCTATTTTATTTAAGCTGTTGACAAAAAAAAAAAAGTTAAATAAAATCATAAAATTTTCATAAATAACAATAAAACATACATTAAAAACATTACAAGCAATATTAATTAATAAAATATTACATTATAAAATAAAATTACACAAAATAATAATAAAAACACACAAACGAAATCATAAATTAAAACTAAATTTGAATTCTATGCCATTCATTAGATCTCACTCCTCATCAACTATGAGATTCAAATTTTATCCAAAGTATAACTTATCCTAGATATAGATAAAACAAAATCATGCGAATTTCATCAACGCCATTCATTAGATCTCACTTCTCATCAACCGTTGGATTCAAATTTTATCCAAACCATAACTTATCCTAGATATAGATAAAAACAAATCATGCGAATTTCATTAACGTCATTCATTAGATCTCACCCGTCAGGCCGTCACCAACCATTGGATTGAAATCCTATTCAATATTTTTGATAAGAAAATCTACGAAATTGGTTTGTGCTCATTCCTTTGAACTAGGGGTTTTCATTCATTTTGTATATATAATAGATTTTTGGGAATGATAATATCACAATTCTACTAACTCTTCTTGTGACTAAAAAATATGGAAAAAAGTAGAGGCTCATCATTCAATCAAAATGAAGATGTGTTTATCATTGTGTTACTATATTTTTAGTGTGAAAACTACACTAAATATAGTGTTATTTCAATACCAAAATAGTGTTATGGTTGAAGATGCCCTAACTATTTCCGTAATGCTCTCATATATGATCAATCAATGCGTTTTGAAAAGCTATATTAGAAAATAAAATTTATGTTTATGAGACAAAAATTTAAGAACTAACATGATAAAATAATAAATTTGTAAAATTATTTATAAAATATAAATAAATGTGAGGACCAAAATGCAAATAAAAAATGAAACCTCAAATTTGAGGTTTAGAGATTGCATTTGGAGATGCTCTAAATAATACAAAAATTAATTACAACTCAAAACTGAGAATAATTTCGACCAAAAATTTATAATCCTAATCATAAAATGCACCAAAAATTTTTTAGATGTTTTTTTGGTTATTTATTTCAGCCGAATGTTCCCCCAGATTAAAAAAACAAACCAAAATCGATTAGACAAATTTCGTTGGTAAACCGCTCGGTACAATAGTCATCCAAAAGTCGGATTCGCCGATCTAGAAGACGACGACGACGACCAAACACTCCGATCAACGGTCCTCCGATTCTCTCTCTCTCTCTCTGAAGAGTGACTGCTTTCGTCGTGACCTGAGAAATGTCGCAGCAAATCAGCGGTAATAATATCCCGCTGAGTGAAGTTTACTGGTCTCTCGTTAACAAAGCCGATAAGAAATTCTCGAAGATCAGTGACTTGCCCTTCTATGAACGCACCAGGTACTCTTCCCATTCCCCTGAGATAACCGGTGAATTTCGATTTTGTCAATTTTTCCTGGAGACTATCAATTTTGTTTAGGCTCAAGGTAAACGCACATAGAATTGTTGATTTGAGAGTTGCTAGATATTCATTTTGGTAGGAAACTTAAATCGGATGAAGAATGAATCCGATTGTTGGTTCATGGAATTGTTAATTCTATTTGTAGGTATGAAAACTATTTCTTCAAGGTATTCAAAGTATACACACAGTTATGGAAGTTTCAGCAAGAGAATAGGCAGAAGCTTGTTGAAGCTGGACTTAAGAGATGGGAGATTGGAGAGATCGCATCTCGAATTGCACAGCTTTACTATGGACATTATATGCGGACAAGTGATGCCGGTTACTTATCCGAGTCTTATGTATTCTACGAAGCAATACTCACTAGGGAGTACTTCAAAGAAGGATTGTTTCAGGATCTTAATATTGCAAACAAACAGCTACGGTTTCTTGCAAGGTTTCTTATGGTGTGTTTGGTCCTTGGCCGTCGTGAGATGGTGCATCAACTTGTTGATCAGTTTAAACGGTTGATAGATGAATGCAAGAGGACATTCCAGGTTTTTTTCTGATAACCTATTCTCTCCATCTTGACTACTTTCTTTCCCCGAGCCTTAGACTGTTTGTTGGTGTTACTATTTTAATGGAGAATGATAACAATTAGGTTGCCTTACAAGAGATCTTGTCTCTATCAATTTTTTTCTGGTATGAGATGACTAATTTTTATTTCCTTAGGTGTTACATAAACAACTTTTCATGTTTTCAGGAAACCGATTTTAAAGAATGGAAGGTTGTGGCGCAGGACATAGTTAGATTTCTGAAATCTGACACTGCATTTATGAACACTAGACCTCTAAGATACAGTCTTGTTCTGGATCCTAATCTGGATGCTGGTACACCGCGTGCTAGTAGATCTTTAAGGTTGACGGATGCAATCTTGAGCAGCTATTATTACAACGAGGTAATGTTTTCACTTGTTCATGTTTAGTATGAACGCCTATTTAATATTCTTACCCTCTAAAATTTGCAATCTTGCTGTATGATTTCCACCAGGTCAAGTATTCGGAGCTCACGCTCGATTCTTTTAGGATGCTTCAATGCTTAGAGTGGGAACCGAGTGGTTCACTATATCAATCAACTGGTGCTAAAATGGGTCTGAATGCTCCCGTTGGAGTTGCTCGTATTAACTCCCAGAGCATGAATGATCCTACTTTGCCACCTAACCCTCGCAAAGCTGTCCTTTATCGTCCATCCATAACACATTTTTTGGCTGTAAGTTGATCTTTGTTTTTTACTTGTCTAACTGGAATTATTGGCTCTATGGAACATCATTCTGTTAACCCTGTTTTTATTTGGTAGGTTTTGGCCACTATTTGTGAGGAGCTTCCTTCTCATGGGATTCTTTTATTATATCTGTCTGCTTCTGGTAATGTGTGTAGTTTTAGTCTGGTATTATGCTTGTTCTCTTTGGAATATTGAGTTCCTTCCTTTCTAACATTTCCATTTTCATTCAGGCAAGAATGGACAGATTTCAACATCTCCTTTGAGTGCTAGAAGTGCAACCAATGTTGAGGAGAATATCTTAAGAGACTTTGAATCTCACACAATCAAACAAGAGGGAGACCCATCACTTCAAATTACCCCATCTGGTCAGTCTTTGAAGCAAATCAGTGAGGACGCAGCCAGTACCCCATGTGGTCTGTCTTTTGGCAGTCATGGGCTCACAGGTATCCACTCCATAATTCTTGAAACTTTTATGTAAACATCCATTAGGCGATATGCATTTAGAGTGAGGATCCATGTAAATCTTCTAGAGGGCAGAAGGAGGATACTTGTAAGAGAAAAATCTTTGATAAAATTGGACCTTTGTGATAATTCCAATTAAATATGTTTCACATCTGAAAGAAAACAACACCGAAATTTCCAGACATTCAGAAACAACTAATGGCAACATATAATTCTGTCATTCTAGTTTATGTAAAATTTTGCTATTTCCTGAAGTCTCTCTGAACTTTATCTGATAATTGAACTGTCTTTCCCCCCAGGATCAAGCTACATCTATCCCTCTGATTTAGTTCCATTTACAAGGAAACCTCTTTTCATAATCATTGACAGTGATAGCAGCACAGTTTTTAAGGTAAGTACACCCAACTCCATCTTTCCTATGTTAAAATTCATTTGATACTTATGCTAAGTAGATTGAGAACATATGAATAATTCTTTCCTTAAAACTGTGAAGAATATTTGTGGAGCGGAGAAAGGAGAACCAGCAGCATTGCTTCTGTCTCCATCACATACTCCTCCGCTTATCTCTGCTGATTTCTCTCGTCAACCTAGTGGTAGCCTTTTCACCATTTTTCTCACGTCACCAGTCCAAGCGTTTTGCTTGTTAAGTGGGATTTCCGCCTCTGATATGGAAACGGTAGGTAGAGATAAAGCTTCATTCCTTGCTTGTTACTTCTTTCTCTTCACTTCGTTTGTTTGCGTGCTTACTACTGTCATGTGTCAGGATATCTTTACTAAGGCCGAGAAGCTTCTTTCTTCGTTTATGAACGAATGGGCTTCGACATTGGCGACATCAGATACCCTTCACCCAGTTTGGTCACAGATACTAAAAGATCCCTTCTTGAGACGACTACTCCTAAGGTAAATGTTTCTCTTCCAAGTTCTAAGACACCTTCAGGATCTCCTAAAACGGTAGTATCAGTAAAAAGATAAATCTTGATCTAATGGAACATTACAAGATTGGAGGTTCACTTTTGGACATAGATTGTGTAGGAACTAGGAACCATAAATATTGTTGGTTTTGTCTATCAAAGATTCTCGAACTCTCTGAACTTTTTTGTCTTATATATCTGCGGTTTTGGACTTTGTCTCCCTTATCTGCAGATTCATATTCTGCCGGGCTGTCTTGGCACTGTACACTCCAGTCTTCAATAACAAACAAAATCAGCCAGAGTGCTTTCCTTCTCTCCCGGAATCGTTAGTACCAACTGCTCCTGCTGTTCAATCCGCTGTGCTTCTGATGGCCAATGTATTTGGTGCTACAAGTAAATTTACTCTACCTCAAGATATCACAATGCTCGAAAGCTTCTAAGAAGCTACCTCTGCGACGATAAGAGCTTCGGTCTGAAAATATTCTTTTGCAAATTGGGAATCTCGATTTGGTTTCCCTTTAGGGTAAACTATGATTTTAGATTTGGAGAATGCTTCTTCCATGTCATTGGAGCATTATGACCGAACATCTTTTGAGATTTATGGTTCGAGAACATTTTGGTGTGCGAAATTAACAAAGTGTTTGATGCAGAACATGTGATTGAAAAATGTTGAAAAATGTTTTTTTTTTTTTTGGTGTATATTGATTCAACTTTTACAGTCTAATGGAAATTCAACATCTACTGTAATTCGGTCAAGAGAATAAGAGGTTCACCATCTGAACACTGTTGATTGCGTTGTCGGTATAAGAGAATAAACTGCGTAGATTTTCCAAGACACAGTTTAATGATTCAGCAATTCATGATTTTGGATGACAATAAATCACTTTTCGATTCTCGTAAGAATTTTCAGAGCATTATTGAGGCCATGGAAAATTTCCAGAGCTTGTTCAAGATCTTTCCTAATTGTTCTCTTCTTCTACTGCTTTCCTTGTGCTTTTTCAGTCGAATTTTCGCAAACCATGCTTTGAATTACATCAAATAAACTATTCACCACCGATCTTTGCAGCTACAAATGCCATCTTTAAAGAGATGGAATCGATTAGCATCACGCACTAATATCTCACGTCCCACGATCTTCGATATCAACTTTGTGACTTCATGACAATCACTACAAACACGAAGGTTCTTCATCACCTGCAATGGAGTCCCTGGTTCTGTGTTCAACAGTCCAAACGCAATAGCTAGTCTCTCGCTGTGCCCACAGATCAAACGTCTCTTCTCTTCTTCTTCCTCTAGATTCTGTGACACTTCCCTTGAATCGGGAATGTACCCTTCTTTAGCCATCAGACTGTAAAGTATCTCTAGTGACTTGTGAATGGCTTCCGACTGAGGAGCTGAATCATCTCCTGAGCAGAACACGTGAACTTTTTTACCGATTTCAATCCAACTATATCCAGGATTCTTCTTGATGTGTTTATCTTTCAAGGATTTGCGGATTAGACTTACTTTTTCCCATTTTCTCAAGGCTGCATATGCGTTTGATGCTAGAATCGAGTAACCTGGATCATCCGGATTCAGTTCAATGATCCTCCTAGATACTCTTTCTGCGGTCTCCATGTCCCCACTTGTTCTACAAGCTCTTAGCACAGATGCCCAGATGCTTGCATCAGGTTCTATTGGCATTGCTTGGATAAATTCTTCGGCTTTTGAAATCTTCTGTGACCGGGACAGCAAATCGACCACACACGCATAGTGTTCAATCATCGGGTCAATTTTGTAGTGAGTTTTCATCTTCTCGAAGCAAGCCAAGCCTTCTTCTACCAGACCAGAGTGGCTGCAAGCATAGATGAGGGCAATGAAGACAACACTATCGGGAACAATACCGGATTTTTCCATATCAACAAAAGATTCAAGAGCTTTCTCACCTTCGCCATACATTCCATATGCATAGATCATCCCTGTCCATGTCACAACATCTCTTCTACTCATACGTTCAAAGACTCTAAACGAACTCTCCAAACAACCACATTTTGAATACATTTCAATTAGTGCATTCCCTATTTGCAACTCCGATTCATATCCAAACCTTAAAAGACAACAATGGATCTCCTTGCCTAGTCGTTTTGCAGCAAGTGAAGCACACATAGGCAATGTAACTAAGAAAGTAGCCATATCAGGCACCACTTTGTTCTTTCTCATTTGAGTAGTTACCTGCAAACCGGTTGCGAAATCCCCAAAACGAACACATGCTGAAATAACTGTGTTCCATGTTACCGTATCCCGAGTTTCCATACTATTGAATATCTTCAGAGAATCTCCTACTTCCCCGCACTTTGCATACATATCAATCAAAGCATTACTAACAGAAAGATCGATATAAATTCCAGATTTTATCCCATTCGAGTGTAGCCCTTTCCCAAATTTCAAGTCTGCTAGACGCGTGGAGAGAGATATAAGCATCAAATAAGTGATGTGATCAGCATGCTCTTCCATGATCATCATCATCTTGAAGAGTTTCATGGCTTCCATAAGATCTCCGCTTTGTATATATCCACTGATTATCGAGTTCCAGGAAACAGTATCCTTGCATTCCATGCTGTTGAAAACATCTCTTGCAGTGATCATATCACCACACTTTGCATACACATCAATTAGAATGTTTTTAACAGTAGATTCAAGAACAAATCCCGCTCTCAGCATATAGTTGTAAATGTACTTTGCCAAGCTCAAGTCCCGTAAGTGTCCGCAGGCACAGAGAACAGAACTAACAGTTAAGATATCTGGCTTGAACTGATCCAAGTTTTCCAAAAACATCTTCACAGATTCTTCAACCATCTCTAGCTTGAGATATCCGCAGATCATAGTATTGTAAGTAACAGAATCTCGAACGACCATCTCATCAAAAACTCGTCTTGCATCTGTTGGTCTGCTAAATTTCAAGTACATTGCAAGTAGTCCATTGTTAACCACCAAAACAGAATTAACACCTGACTTCAGAGTAAAACCATGAAGTCCCTGTCCTTGTTTGACAACCAGCAAATTCGCAAAGGCAGGCAAAACACTTGAAACCGTGAAGGAATCTGGTACAATCCAAGAATTCCTCAACTCATGATAAATTTCCAAAGCTTCCTCATAGTAATCATGGGAACTATACCCAGAAATTAAACTGTTCCAGGACACGAGATCTCTCACAGGCATTTCGTCGAACACTTGTCGTGCTTTACTTAACAATCCCATTCTCGAATACATATCCACAAGTGCATTGCCTACATATAAATCCGATTCAAAACCCATTTCCAATATCTGCTTATAAACCAAATCTCCCATCTCCGCATCGAACAATCCCGCACAGGCTTTGATAACCGAAGGAAACGTGTACTTATCAGGCGAAACCTTGGATTCCCGGAGTTTCCCGTAAAACTCGAGGGCTTTAGGGAACAAACCATTCTTAGAAAACGCTCTGATGATGGAATTCCAAAGATAAACATTTTTGGCCGGAGAAACTCGTCGGAAAACAGAGAGGGAAGAGGCGGGTTCACGAAAGTGAGAGTACTTGTCGATAAGCTTGCCGGAGAAGAAGTCGGAGCCGTCAAGACCAAGAGAGATCACAAGGGCGTGAATTCGACGAAGCTCATTGAGGTTAGATGACGATGAAAGAGCTCTAGAGATGAAAGCCGATGACACTCTAGTCTGCATTTCTCCATTGTAGAGTTCGTGTTCCTAACCTCTTCTTCATCGTTAAAAAACAAAAAGAACAAAACAAATTACAGCGATTCAAACCGGAAATAACCGATTTAAACCGGAAAACTTTTTTTTGGGAATTATGAAGAAAAATAGTTGGTTAACAACAAAAGATCAACAGAGTCCTAGTTTTTTTTTGTTTTTTAGTCATAGTTTTATGTTGTTACATTATATTCAGTTGATTATCTATTCGGCCCATACCCAAAATGCAGTCAAAATCATGAATGATGAGGATTTTTACATAAGCCCAAGTACAAACCTTTTATTTTCTACAAGCCAACATATATGTATGTAAATGCATCACAAATCCTTTTTTTTTTTTGGTAAACGATGCATCACAAATCTATTAATCAGACATAACATCGTTCACTCAAATCTTGATGATGTCTACTTCACATGCATACAATTTGGGTATAATCTTCAATCAAATCTTGATAATGTCTACTTCACATGCATACAATTTGGGTATAATCTTCAATACGTGAGGGTACATATCCTGAACGGCTTTTTTATGGTATTCTCTGTGACTTCGACAACGATTCCAATTTGTGCAAAAATCAACAATTATCACATATTAAGAAAAAATAAATAAATTAAAGAGACAAGAAATCAATTAGTTAGCTAGCTACTACTACTATGGCTGTAAGAAGGTGAACTAGGAGTGTAAAAAAGTAATGTGGGACTATAATAGGAGGGTGAAATAGGAGTGTAGGACGGTGATATGGGACTACTGTAGGAGGGTGAAATACGTGTAGGAAGGTGATGCAGGACCGTAAGAGAGTGAAGCTTGGTTGTAGGAAGGTGATGCGGGACTGTAATCTTGAATGTAGGAAGATGATTCATGATAGTAGGAGGGTGAACTCGGGTTGTGACTTGGAAATCTGTGGTGGTAAATTGGTGACGTAGCCCTGTAGGTTGGGGACAATAGGGTGTAACTCGGGGAGGTGGGGAAATAAATACTTGCATGGCCTGGCGACAGTGTGTTGCTCGAGGAGGTGGGAGAATAAGAAGGGATTTGGCTAGGTAAACGGGGACTATCCCTATGCAAGGTAGGACTGTCCCCTCTACCTGGAGCCATATCCTTCACCATCACTGATTGAGTAAATTATGTACGTTTTTAAAAATTCTAATCACAACATATGCGACAAAATCTATTTATTTATTTATTATATGAACTATGTATTGATTCAAATGTTTTTAAAACATGATCAAGACAAAGATGAGAGGTGATTTTTTAATAAAATATTGAAAATATCTCTAAATTAATTATTATGTCAAGTTTGGAACAGAACCGACAAACAACTAGTATGGTGTTTATAATCGCTTAGGAACGACTTGCTTGATTTGCTTCATCACCATACTCCTTTACCTATGTTCTTCAATTGCACACCATCGGCGACCAATGAGATCTCTTTCAAAGTCCTTGTAAGATCAATTTTCATCTTTGTGATGATGATGTCATTCAACAACAAATCCTTTTACATCGTTTTGCTGTTGATAATCAAATTGGGTTGTCGTTTTTTCCACTCATCTCTTCCTTGGTTTTAAGTCAAGAACTTAAAAACCATATGTATCTTGTTTATACATATGCAATAACAAGCCACTAGCAAGATAAAATTACCAAAATAAAACAATTCTCTACAGAAATCAAGAAGGAATGCATCATTTTTAACCTAACTTGCAATATTAAAATTGATTTGATTGATAATCCATGCAATATTTGGAAATTCTTACGATTTGAAAATCGAACAAATGTATTTAATTTCAAAATAACAAGGTTTGCTGTATTTGAGCCTTTGTATTTTCAAATTTTAAACACTTTCAAATATGTTAAGATTCAATAGGAAAATTAGATCATTTTAAAATCCAATAAAAGAAATTTATTGAATAACACTAAATTTAAACT